ATATATATATATATATATAATGGTTTATTCGTTATATTTTGTCGGTAATTATAATTATGTATGTTTAATTGTTCTAATTATAAACATTCTATTTGAATTTCACATGAATGGTTTGTGAATCAGTGACGCAATCGATGATCCGTGCCAATTATAATATCACAATGTTTACTTAAACCGTCTTTCAATAATCTAGGCAAATACACTCTAATTTCTTCCCCAATGTGTACCTACCTATCTACTTTGAATCCCTGAAAGAGTTTTATTTGCTCAGCGACGGACGATATGTAAAGTGAATAGGCAGTGGAAGGGCATTGTTACCTTTTCAATCAGTCCCTACCAGGCCCTTCAATTTATCCTGTTCCCACTCTCTACCAAGCAGCGATAATTATTTAACGAATGAATAATCAGTCTTGAATGTCAACGCAACTGAGTATTTATAAACGATTTAGGTGGATTCTTTGCTGATGAATTATTCATTTTGTGAACGTATCGTAGAAATACTTTTATTAACCTGCACCGGATCTGACACGAGCACCGACCACCAGATCGAGGATCGGCACGAGCTAGAAATAATGCTTGTAACGTCCTGAACACTGATCTAAATTCTGGTGGCTTGTTCGTATCCTTGACCTCCATCCGAAGAGTGCAAAGAATTCTTTTTTTCCGAATCGCTCGCGCCAATTATAAACTTTCACAGCATTGGAGACTAGTAGGCTTGTGTTTCGGCGCTATTGAACATTATGATTATTGTGTCTTTGTATAAGATGAAACTGATCATGAAATATTGTTTGAAGACATTTATATGCGTTCAAGTTGAAGCCGATCACATTAATTAATCGACCTTGTAATATGCGACAATTAACTGTGGTCGTTTCGCTTGCATTGCTTATCGACGACGCAGTGAATGCTCTCAGTGTTGTTTTATTCCTGATTGGTACAACACAAGACCAACGTAGTCTTTTTGAGTATTTAGCACAGCAATTGGCACTAAGAAATCATAAAGTTCATACAGTTAAACCGATATTGATTCCTGAAGAGCCTCGTCTTGTTCAACAAAAACTGCATTTGGTACATGAAATAACACTGAAAAATTTATTGCCATTGTAAGTTTTACTTTAATGCAGAAATACTTTCATTTCAACAAAATACTCTGCATTCGGTGCTGGTGGCTCGCCCACATTAATGATGCTGTCATTAAAAATAAAATCATTAAAAATGGCTGAATTGAGTGGAGTCGTAAAGTTTTGAACTGTTTCTACTTATCGCATTGTTTACAGCCAACTGTATGCACCTCTTCAAGCAACTGGCAATAATATACCTTGGATGGAAAAATATGACAGCGAAGAGCACATGATACCATATTATAGGGCACATGCTCATGCTTGCAAAAGAGTTTGTTCATTTTTTAATTCGACTTTCAGATGTATTGATGCTAATCGGTAATTATTTCGGTTGTCTGATAACGTACTCACGTTGTTTTTTTCATCGGTGTTATTTTTTTTATTGTTATTATTATTATTATTATTATTACTATTATTATCATTATTATCCGTATATGTATTAAAATGTTGTTGTTGAACTGAGGTATTATAAAACAATTGTTATTTAGATGTTAAACAGCGATTTAGTGGATAAATTAAAGATGGAAAAGCTAGATTTAGCGATTGTTTATTCCGGTGATGCATGTCAGCTGGCAATCGTGCATGCTTTACAAATACCCTTCATCTATTTCGATACGGATGGTAAGATGAATGAATTATGCACATCTTTGATTATGTTAGCTAATTTTTTTAGTCATTAATATATTTGAGCATGTTGTCTGATATGAATATATGTCTTCGAAAGGATTTACCGATGAAACGAGAATCGCATCTGGAACACCACTGAACGCAGATATACCGTCATCAAAATGCAGCAATGACAATCAAGCAATACCTGCACTGCAACGATTTTTGAATGGTTATTGCTTGTTGAACGAATACTTCACGCAATTACATATTCCATTTCTATCCTCGTTCTTATCGAAACGACATGCAATTATGGATGAGCCGATCAGTCGAATGTTTCAACGTGATTATCACATTAAAAAGAAATTCACTTATTTCCCGAATGTTAATGAGGTGAACATTTAATGAATGGTTTGAATTCTCTATATAATAATAATATTATTATTGCTACCATTATTACTGCTGTTATTATTATTATTTTGAATGTGAGATCAAGAATATTGGTTTTCAGATTAAACAACAAGCTGAATTGTATTTCATTAATACGGATCCAATAATCGAATTTGAACATCCTCTACCACCATATGTAATACCCGTTGGCGGTTTCCATATCGATGAGCCGAGGCCTTTATTTTATGTGAATAAACAGATTGGTTTTACTGTTTCATTATCACTAGCATCGTTAATCATTTGCTATCATTTATGGGCTATTGTCTAGTTGGGTACTTATGAAAGGCACGGAGCTAGACACGAACTGAATGATTCGCTGCAACACACATTAGTTGAACATTGCACAGAACAAATTATTCATAAATTCAACTTGTTTATGATAAATACTACTTTATAAATTCATTTATTGTGCCTATTTATTAAACTTCAACGTTATTGGGTTGGGTTGGTGTAAGATAAAAGTGTTAATGAAATTGAATTAAGCCATGGAATATGAGCACTAGTGATGAGGTGCAAGCAAAATCATCATCCTATAAAGGCGTAATAATTGTTTCATTCGGAAATCAAGTAAACTGCTCATCGATGACTCAACAACAAGCTCGTTCAATTTTGAATGCTTTATCGAGATTTCATTCATATCGCATCTATTGGCGTTTGGGTTCTACGCTGTCGCTACCCGGCATATCCATTCACCAAATCCCACACCATATCAATCTCACCACTTTTATACCGCAGAATGATCTTCTTGGTATTATTATACTTTCATTACTGTTATTAGTTCACTCTATCATTCTGAAGTGATAGTGGAGTGTTGCAGTGGAATATTTACAACGTAGATTCATATTAAATTTATCAAAGACTGAAAGTGTAGTCCGCAAGAAGGAATACACATCATCAATAACAATATTAACCGTGAGATGTTTAAGCCGACCTACCATTAGATTCAGAACAGTGGTTATGAGCTCCATTACACCCTTCCATAATCTGGCAGGTCGCCATTGCCCCTCCCCCTGCCAGTACTTATTATCTGCATGAATGCAATCTTGGAAGATGGTTGAAAACAACAACATGCCTAAGTATCTCATCTGAAAATAAGATACCAATAATTTTCAATCTAGAATGCCACAACATATCCCATGCATATCTGTCATGAAACAGATACCTATGACACAACTGAGCAGTTATTTCGTTTGAAAAAATTCATTGAAGAGCCAAAAACCCCATCTTATGCAGTGATTAAAGAAACTTACCAAAACTTTTCAGTGCGACCAATTAATAACAGTAATAGATGAATTGAAAAATACTCGCTCGTCTCGCACCGAATCAGTGATCTTTTCTGCCACACCAAACAACTGAACTAATTCCTATTGATGATAAGGGATAATGTCAAGCAATATATTAGACTTATGAAATACTTGTGACTTTTGTTCAGACTTAGGCGAGCTAATAATACTCAAAAAATAGGAGACAAAAGAGTGGTGCCATAAGCCAACCGCATTTAGATACCTAAGTGAAAAAACACCATCACAATGTCAACATAACAACTACACCAAATATTAGTTTGTCGGCTACCCCCTGACACCTCCAAATTTCCCCCTCCTCCCTATGAGAACCACTGACTCAGAACATTAAAGAGTACTGAAATAAATACGAATTGAGTGAAGTGTGTGCTACCACACACATTATTTTGTTTGTCTATTAGTTTCACGATACAAGTGGAATAGAATAGAGATTAGAATGGTTTAAAAGAAAGAAATTGCAGCGGATCATAGAACGAAATTATTAATAACGAATGGTGGAATGCAGAGCATAATTGAAGCATTTGTGTATGGTGTACCAGTTGTGGGCATTCCTTTGTATGGCACGAATCGTTATAATTTAATGAAAGTTCACAATAAAGGAGTTGGCTTAATATTGAACAAGGAGCAACTCAGTGCAGACAACCTTTATCGTACGATCAGTGAGGTTCTTGACAATGATAAGTTAGTTGACTAAAGTTGTTTGCTTGATTAAAATTGCATTTAATTATTTATTGCTTCTGTGATTCAGATATAAACGAGCAGCAAAGAATATGGCCAGAGAATGGCGAGAAAGGCCTGCAAGAGCATTTGATCGAGTGATGTATTACATCGAAGATGTGGGACGTAATCATGGATCGATGTTGAATAAAAACATTGTAATGCGGAAACGATGCGTTTGGGGAAAAACGTTGAATATTGATATATTGATGGCATTCATCTTATTAACGTTAGCACCACTCATCATCGCTTACAAGTTGATTAGTGTTCGTTTATTTGCATTGCTTTTTGATTCATCGCTTTGATTGTATTTTATTGAACAATGACTAAATGCTCGTGCATGAAATTAGTTTATTGAAGACGGATTATGGCATATCATTAGCATCTTTCACTAAATCGCATACAAATATCCGCGATACGTTTGTTGATAATTCAGATATTTAAATGTGATCAGCGAACAACAAAATAAAATTATCGATGCAAGCAGTCCGGACAAAGACACTTCGGATGCTATTTTATGAAGATGCTCTTTGAAGGGCTTCGAACATCCCTAAAATATATTCCTATTGATAATTTATCACCAAATTAATGACTGAACAAGTAATTACTACTTTGTGTAAATAAATATAAAAATTCGTATGGATGAACTCACTTGATTATTGGTAAAAATATGTTTTGTCCACGTTGTAGATGTTCTTTCGATTCCAGCACATATATTCCAGCTCAAAAATGCTTCATTCGTATTATTAGTGTTATTATTCATTATTATTTATTATTATTATTTATTATCATCATTATTATTATTACCATCATTATTACTATCATTATAATTTTAATAATAAATTTTACTTCTGTTCCACATATGCACATGCTGTACAGCAACTGTCTGGAACACGTTTTTTTGGATATTGAATTTGTTTTTTGAACCAGTAACTTTGAGACCATAGTTGACCAGCGTTATTGTCAGATGTACCGCAACAACAATACTGAATTCGTAATCGAAATTTAGATTGCTCATGTCGTTTGCTTATTTTGAGTTGTGGAATGAGATTGTAGATGAAATTTAAGATCGAAAATAGAATAACTTTCAATTGAAGTTGATCCCAAGCGGCTGTTATTTCACGTCCATGTGGATGACCGTATTCGTTAATTAACGTTTCCTGCATCCATTCATTCAAATTATTCGTCACCTATGCAAGTATTATTTGTAAGTGTATTTGATATTGCGCAACAATCACAGCATTCATTACTTACAAATTATTTTCATTCAATGTTTTGAAAGTTAGCTTAGATCGAGAATTGAGTCTGCATTGCGGACTACCATTATTTGACTCGTCATATCATTCAAGTGCACCACAAAATGTGAGTAGTACCTCATAATCCATATAACGACCAATTATCGCCGTCAACGCACTTAAACTTGCAATCGTTATCGCTAATGCAAAATACTGCAATTATTAATTGTTTCATGTCCCTTTAATCCCAAGCTTGCACCACATAATGATTGATATTTGGTTATACAAGTTTTTTAGAAGTTATTTTTATGCTGTACTCATTTTTTTACTTTTATTATTATTATCATTATTAAAAAATGACTGAACAAAGAAATCATAAAGGTAACTTACAGCAATGATTAAAAAAACTCTGTTTGAAAAGAGTGTTATGAAAATGAAGGCAACTAAAAGGATATTAATTGACGCAATAATGAAAATCATTCCAATCCCATATTTGAACGAATTCGATCCGAGTATAATTGTTATGAAATCAAATTCTTTCGTATGTTTATTCAAGGTAACAATAATGTTTACGGATATGAACTGAAAAATATCATCACATAGGTGTTTGATATTTGCTTCATTTTGACATTTTTCATTTATGCAAGAAGAGAGCAATTTGAGTTTGGGACGAATGTTCAAGATGAAATTCATATAACAAACCATTAGTATGAAATTCGTAATGAGTAGTACACTTTTGAGGCATTCATCTTTTGTTGAGCATTTAAATAACATATTGATAATGATAATAAAATGATGATAATAGCACTTATAATAAAAATAGAGTTTGTACAATTAATTAGCAATGAATGTAATCTTTAGAATGACTGATGTAAGCAAAACAGATTGCAGTAGCGTTCACGTACATACCAATTTATACCTATATTTGTGATGCCGTTTGTTTTGTCGTATTTATTTACTTGTTTATATAAATTGTGTTTATTCAGTGAATGCTCTTAACGTACCGGACACCGCTCTGTACATTGTACACATAAATTTGCACGTTTCAATTGTTGATTTCATTTGAGATGTTTCATTTAGAATTGCATTTTGAATAAATTTGTATTCAATAAATGTACGAGTTCATTGTGAATAAATTCAAAAGAATTGATACAGTTGTAATTTGGATAAATATTTTGATATGCATATGCAAAAACACGATCATTTATTTATCGTATGTCATCTGAAATTAACACTTGAATTTTATGTGGATTGATTGAAGTGGAGAATTTGAATTGTGAGTCGAACGAAGAGAAACTGGGATGGTGACAATTGTTGTGATCTGATCTGCGGTTTGAATCCATGAAGTATGTTCTGATGAACAGCATTGATATCCATCGGATGATATGAAAAGAGTTAGCATAATGATAAAGCATTAGGAATTCAACCACATTTCCAGCATTCTGTAATGCTTACGTGAAGAGAACTCATATACCATCCGGTAATTGAGGATCTGCTGAATCGGATGGTGCGAGGAAACCATTGCGAACCTAAGGATGCAAATAGTTTAAAATTAACACATCTGGTATTACAGAGTTGTAACATCAGAGATTATTTTTGAGGACTTAATGATGTCGCTCAGCTACATCACATGCCTTCAGCTATTTAGCTATATCTCACAAACCAAACATGATCCTTCGACGACAAATACAGCATTCTAACTAGAGAAGTTGTTGAATCTGATGGCTTATAGAAATCATTTTATCCCTGTGCAAGCCTAAGGATACAGGTGATTTGAAAATGGTACTGATATAGTAGTGCGCTGCTGATCAATATCAGTCACCTTCAGAATTATATCTGTTTTGATGAACAAGGCGTTACCCATTTAATGAACTAGGCATTATCGTTTGATCTAGAGGATGCGATGATGTGAAGAAATCATGACAAGAGTGTCACATTGAAGACGATTCTCCTGATTTTACAACCAATATCTTTGAAATGAACGACGGTGCAATCGCTCAGCAATACGACATATACGGCAAATTCAATGAGACTAAGCAAAACCTTTTCTGAAACTAGAAGATGTGATGATACGGATAAACCTGGGTAAAGTTTGAATACGGTGCTACTGAAACTCCCGATGTAACTTTTGGATTGTTTACCCGAGACACAATTTGTTTAAATGAGGAATCAAGGGGTCGCTCAGCTGTATGAGGTAAGGTCACAGAATTGGCAGTTTACCTGAAACAAAGCAAAATATATGCATTTGTGGAAGTAGAGAATCTGACGTATTTAAAGAAATTATCATGCTATTGTGCAAACCTGAGAATAGTGATATTCCTAGCAGAATTTATTGATTGATCAATAAATTTGCAACGTATGCAACTGAGGAGCAATACAATTAATCAGCTTTGAGAGATACGTTCAGAAATGCAGCTAGATCTCTGTGCAACCACAGATCTCTCGTTTATCATATGCTAGTGAATAATAACAGATAATTAGATAACAGATACAAGCCGGATCATAGCCTGGCTCAGGTTCATAACATTAATGATGTTGGTAAACCATTAGGTTTCGAGCAAAACTCTCCTCCGCGAACGGGAATCGAATCCGCGACGTACCAATTACCGGTTGGGGCGCTACCTCCGAGCTACCGCGGAGACCGTTCAGTCTCCGCCGAGTGGTTGTGTTAAGATCGCAATCATATGGTAGTGACTTAATGATCAGTTTCTGCTTAATTCTTGCCAACATGCAACTTTTTCTCGGCAACTTTGTTCGTTACTATGTTCATTACCTCATTCGTTAATTCCCGACCTAATTCAGTGCATTTTTAGAGACTACCAAATCTCGGCTTCAACATGATACGTCCTCCTGACTAATTATTTTTCTCAGCACAAAGAGAATTTCAATTACTCCAGTATATATTCCAAGTGTGACTGTTGAACATCACCACTGATCATGCCTAGTGGCATAACTCTCATAACTTATTATTTCCGGCCGAAGTTAAACACCTCTTCCTAGGGTACCCAATCTCGGCTGTAAGATTGTACGTATCTTGGTTATGAATATTCCTCATCTAGTGAGTAACAGTTTCAATTATTTTTTGAACTTTTATACTTCAAGCGAAACGAAAAATCTCGATTATTGTCCATTCTGTACATCATGTTTTATTCTCTTGAAATTTCGCTACAACATGATCCATAAATTGTCCGTATTTGTTGTCGCTAAATGGGTAAGAAATTCACATTTGTTAGCACCTGTCAAATAAAAGTGCGAGTTTCGTCACTTGGTGGCGAACTGTTTGCATACCATTTAGCTGTTTTGCTTGCATGCGATTCATTTTATTTCTTGACGCTATTATAAACGAACTATTACTTGGATATTTACATGCTGCGATAGCATGCATGAACGTGTTGAACATGTGTTTTGTACAATTGATGATGTGTATTTGTATAATACATTCCAATATAATCTAGATGTTTGCCATTGTTTTTCATTCTTTTTGCGTAATTGATTTAGAACAGTGTTATTGTCTATCGTTTTTGATGAGATGCATCGTGGAGAATTGCTGTATTCATGTAACTATTTAACATGTGTCTCTAAAGATTTTTCCAATGAATGAATTGCAGTGATTTATCGGATAACGATGTCGGACTTGTTGAGTGGACTAGCCAGTTTAACTAAGTCCGTAACTGACAGTTTCAACACGTATGAAATCCGCAAACTTAGTGATAAAGTGTATGTTTTGTTCATTATTCGCTTCTCGTATGCTTTTAAAAGAATTGAATTAAACTGGGAATAGTAAGGGTATTTAAGACAGGGTATGGTGATGAACTATACGGAAGCGGAAGTGAAGGTTCGTGAAGCTACCAATGAAGATCCATGGGGGCCAACAGGACCGCAAATGGCGGAAATAGCGCATATGACATTCCAGTATGATGCATTCCCCGAAATTATGGGTATGTTATGGAAACGAATGTTACATGAAAATAAATACGCTTGGAGGCGGGTTTATAAGGTTAGCATTGAGTATCTATTTGATTCCTCTGAATGAGTGGTTGATAATATATCATGATGTGTAAAGTAATAATAATGATTCTGGTTTAGTCACTCACATTGTTGAATTATTTATTGAAAAACGGTAGTGAACGCGTTGTGGGTAGTGCAAGAGATCATATCTTTGAAATGCGTTCGCTTGAGAATTATAAATATGTCGATGAAAGAGGCAAAGACCAAGGCTTGAACGGTGAGTATTTTCGATTTGTTTTCATTTGATGTCAAGAGGTGAGTAATGAATATGTTGTGGGTTGATCTATTGCTCATTTCAGTACGACATCGTGCTAAGTTATTAATTGAACTAATACAAGATGATGAGCAATTGCGAATGGCGCGTAAAAAAGCAAAAATGGAAGGAAAAGAAAAATATCAAGGTTTTTCCAAAGAAGAGATGCGTATGGCTGCTGCTGCCGGTGGTCCAATGGGTTTTGGTAGTCAGTCTCAAACCAAAAATAATTTTGATATTTGGCGAAATTCATCATCAGCCCGCAGAAGTTCATTTGATGATGACAATAATGGGTCAGTTATTGTTATCGTTATCATTATACTTCTACATCCATTCTTGATTTTAATGTTCGAGTGATTACTTCAGTGATTCATATCGAGATCGTGAAGTTAATTCGTTTCAATTTCCCGATCAAGAAGTAAGCAATATACGTGATAGTCCAGAATTAGGTATTCGTGAGGTTTGTTTGTCAGAATTTGATTGTTTTATTAATTTTCATGCTTTTCGTTTGAATCCATTTCCAGTAATACTTATCGAATGATTTTAGAAAACTCCTGAACCAAGTTCAGAGAATGACGACGAATTCGGTGATTTTGCGCAAGCACGCAACGCACAACAGCAGCAATCAAGTAATAAATCATCTAATAATATCATCATACCGCCACCAATTCCTGCACCGAACCAGCAGATTGCGCCACCGGTCTCTTATAATGCAGCCATGGTTACAAAACCTTTAGCTCAGCTTGGTAGGTATCATGAATTTTTCACTACTGTTTCTAGTTATTTATTTTTCATTTATCGTCATTTATTTATTTACTCGTTTGTTTAGCCAGCAATTGCGAATTCATATCTCTGCTCTGGATCGCTAAGAGCAGAAATAATACTCATTCATTATTATCCTCTACGATTAAAGAGGTTTAAGGACTACTCTGCCGTACCCCCAACAAATTCTTGTGGAGAGAAGGCTCGCAATGAGCCTAAAAGTCCGTTTAGTTTATCGAGGAAAAAACTGTTTAGTGACCACTCTGAATGGTTGTTGCAAACAACTAAAGCATTAGATCAGTAACAAATAGCGGTTACAGTTGTTGTGATTGGACGGGATTATCGCTGATAGATATATATTTCAGATGGCAGTAATGACTTGTTTGGTCTAAATGTTGGTACATCATCAGTGCCCACTAATAAAGCAGATGTAATTAATGCGAATGCAGATAATAATAATGATTTATTTGGTTTCGCATCTGTTAACAGTTCAACGTTAGTTGTTTATGTAGAATACGAAATGTCTGTTTCGCTTATTCATCCATTTGTATTTTGCATGATTCGTTCGTCTGCACTATTTCAGTGAAGCAAATTTATTCTCGCAACTAACTGATGATCAGCTTGTTCAAACAACCAAAAGTAATAAGCCATCAACTCTACCGGAACAGAGTGATACGTTTCTGGCTACAACAACCGTCCAAAAACAGCAACAGAAACCATTATCTAATACTACTGCTAGTTTCATAGCAGAAGATTTATTTGGAGTTGGCCTTCAGCCGGAGCCAGTCGTAAGTTTTCAAGGCTTCATTGAACTATGTAATTGAGCTGAAATGATTTGTGATATTTGAGAAAGTTGATTTCTCATCAACGACGATAGCAAGCAGCGCAATGACGGCAACAACCTCACCAGTTCGTGCCGTTTCAATGCCAACCACACCCATGGCGCATGCAGCAGCCAAACCGAACAATTGTTCATCATCATCATCGTACTCAAATGAACAGTTGAAAGCAAACGTTACAATCCCACCAACATGGTCAGAGGCAACCAGTAAACTGAACATTGATTTGGACAATCTCGGTCAAAAGAAAGCACCCGTTAAACAGAGTATTTCAATGAGTCAAATGGCTGCCAAAATGAGTAATACAACTGCTGCTGCAGCAAAGGACGTCACTGCTGGTTTGTTATATCATCGCATTCACAACTGATCTGTAGGTATTTATTAAATCAAACGAGTATTGTTCAAGGGATGGCATCCTCGCAGTCGATGTCTGCTGATTTCATGTTGTCGTCACCAACCAGTGGCGTTGCAAGTCAATCAACAACAGTAGCACCGCAGAGTGGTGGTGCGTTGAATGATATGAAGGATCTTTTCATGTGAATTTATTGTCATTTAATTGGAACAAGAACTACTGATTTCTTTCGGATGCAGCACACATAAGTTACGTATCTTTTGTTTCTTCTTTACTTATTTATTATTATTATTATTTGTTCGTTTCTTTTTTGACGATAACCTAAGTGCCTAATGATTAATTGAGCAGATGATTTATTTGTTTGTATGAGAGAGTGAATGGATTTCGGCCATTCACTGCAAAATGTCACCAATTTAATGTTTTTAATTGCAATGCAAAAACCTCCATATTCCATTATATCTTTATTAACTACCATTACTTCACAACATATCAGTTATCTTCTATTCATCTTTTCTGCGTAATCAGTTTCATTTTTTCGTCTATACTCAACAAGCTCATTATAAATCAGTGTCTACTTCTCTTTTTTGCTTCGTCGTTTTGTGTCTGAATGTTTTGCAGGATTCCAGCCAATATTTCTGTTGTTGCTCTCTAAATTACTGTCTCATTTGAAAACAAGACGACACTCTAATTATGTAATCACTGAGTATGTTCATTAATTGTTTAATTCAATTATTTAATATGAAGACTAAGCAATGATAATTTAAAGTGATTTGATGTGATGAGCGAATGAAGTTTAATTTGTCTTATGTTGTGTTTACTGTGATTGTGATGCGTGTTTTACTGTGAATTATCGATTGTTGTTGTTCACACTTAACGAATGTGTGTATTTATTAGACAAGTAACTTAATTTATTTGGGTAAAGGAGTATTTCGTTTTTAAGTGAACTGTGATAGGTGTTCGGTACAGACAGCTGTGAACGGCTGGCTGTTATTCTCTCTGATTCGAACGAACAATCAGCATTTTGCTGCGATGTTGATGTTTTTATTCATTGTTTCCTTAAAACGTAATCAGTGATGAATATTTGTTGTTTTATTCGCATTCGTCAGCTTATTTATTGTTTCGATTCGGCACATCGAAGATGTTTTTACATCAACATAAGAACAACGGAATAGTTCTTTGTTGAGTCTGCCAGTTTTATTGCTGAATAATCAATTTGAAGAGAATTTTTCAAAATTTTCATTTGGAACTTCACATATCCATTTATTTTCGTTGTATTGTAATAGTAATTCTTCGACGACCTTCAAGAACATTGTAATGGACAATTGTTATTTTGAAGCAGATATAAAACTGGTGGGATTTGTTTCATTTTTATCATTTCTCATTAAAAGATATTCACAAGAAACTGTGGAATAGTTTGATTCTTGCCGATAATTTCATTTCAGAGATTGTTTATTGCATTATATTCTTTTACATTTCATCCATGTGTCGTTGTCATCACCAACAGTACGTGAATTAACGAATCGATCAGCACGAACAAACTCCTCAGATTGTCTATGTATTGTGCCTTTTCAAAACAACCATTTATCGAATCCTCTGCTTTTGTTTTGTGTTTCGTTTGATTTTTCAACAATGTTCCGATCATTGGCGTGCGTCTCTCTGTTTTGTTTCTAGATATTAAATAATCTTCCTTAAAATTTTTTTCATAAGGTACTCAACAATGCCCACGAATATTACTTTATCTGCTCAAGAAAAAAACGAAAATACAGTCGCAGCTCGGTTTACATCGTTCCAGCTTAATTTGGTCTTGGAGATAGGTCGCTCCGACCTGAAGAATTTTATGTCGGAAAGCATTTTATTCCGGTTGGATCAACTTAGGAAACATATATCAATCACAGTAATAGGAGGAAAATACTGAAAAACGATTGAAGCACGGAGAGATTACTCCGTAACTGATGCTAAAGTATACAGCTACTACAGATGCATTTATTACTTTATAATAAGGGCGTGTATGAAAGGAGCATCAACAGAAAACAATGAGAAAACATTCCATACAAAATCGTAACTAGTATTGATGGACATATGTTAGCAGTCAGTTGGATGTATGTGTGTGTTTGCCTATCCTTGCGTTTACTTTTCATCTGCACCTTGAATGTTTCTTCGACAATTCAAATGTCAAAATTATCGACATCAAATACCGTCTTGATTCACCACATTATGAAATAAAAAATGAAAATTTTTTGAAAAATGTGGTTGTTGACGCTGCTCAGTCTTTCAGAATGAATCATAGAACTATATTGGCGATCGTACCATAAGGAAGATTGACTTTTATCGTACAATATAGAAGAAGCCCAAAAACTTAACGTTACCGTCCTCAATAAAAGAAGCAGCGAAGTAATTCAAAAACTTCTCAAAACAAACAAAATCATCCACGTGCTTCGATTATTTAAAAAGTGGCTGATAAGCAAGTACCATCGTTATTCGAAAGCCTTCTAAGAGGAAAGTCACACACGGTTAATGCGAATCGAACTTTATCATAATATACATTCTTCAAAGAGACAGACAACCGAAAATCTATCATAGGATCAGTTCCATTTAAGCATATCGAATGACTGATGTCAGCTCATATCCACGGGAGGAAGAAGCATAGCATGCTACAGTCGTTCAAAAATATTTTTGAGATATGATTGTTGGGAGAAAGTTTTGCGGGAGATTTCAGATTGAAATCGTTCTTGTTGATAATATTTTGAATTCCAGAGCACTAAATTTTTGAATTGCAATCAAATCTTCGACTAGCTCCTGGCCACCAGCAAAGCCTCACTGATTTTCCTAATTTTTTTTCAGGTGAAACTAACAATTTTTTCCTTCCTGATGTTATCGTGACTTCTCTCTTCTGTGATCGATAAGCTACGGCAACGCCGCTTTCTTCAAGCAGTGCTATGTATCCGGAAGTATGCAAAGACAGGTAATATCTGTTACTAATCTTAGTGAATCAAATGCGGGAGAAGATAGTCGGAGCTTAGTTCGAAGGTAGGTAGTTCAAAGCTTCCGCCGATGTGGCTTACAATAGGAGCCTAGATGCTGATTTGATGCGAAGGTTTGACTTCATTTCATTCTATGTACTTCAGCATTCATATGTCCAATTCAATGTTGAGTTCGTCCAATTTAGTTGGAGCGATATGACGATTATGAAGCGAACGAAAATTGCACTTTTATGAGAGATCGCCTTTTTCAGACAGCACAAGCTGCGCTCCTGAAAGGATTTGGTGATGTATCAATATTAAATTCTCATCATGCCCACGGGCAACAGTTTTATTTTATTGAAGATATTTGTCGCCGTGAATATCAATGCAATATTGAATTTCAAGCAGGAGTTTTCTTTCAGTTCAAGCTTTAGGGCAGCAGTATTTTTGTTGTTTAGATTTCACATTTGAGTGATATCAGCGAAAGAACGAAGCACTTTCGAGGAGGAAAACTTGGAGAGAGTGTTCAGTTTTTGCATGCGTTCGATTAAAATTAAGTTGTGTTTCGACTGTGATTTAGTGAGGTGCGAAAATATTGATGTTGATGATGATATTTGATTGATTCATTATGTGGTTATGGGTCTGTCTTGGATGAGTTCGTTGATTAGTTGTTGATTCTGTGAGGATGACAGCGAGATGAGATGAACTGCATAAAGGCAATTTTCAGTATTTGTTCAACTTGTAATGGATTGCATTCCGATGAACAGACGGATGGATGGATGGATGGGTAGATGATGGATAATGAATTTAGTGGTGCTCAATGATTGTTTTCTATTGAGTGTGAAGAGTCGTTGCTCGTTTTTGTTTGATATTTCACATTTGTATTTTTATTTATATCGTGTACGTATTCATGACTTGGACATATCTGTTTGTGTAAACGTTTAGCATATAAATAAATAAATTTCACATTATATCGATCCTTTGCAGTGCTGCTTAATTTGAGAAAAATTGATCCAGCTCCATTTGCGCATTTTTCAAATTCTGGATATGGCTCCACATCTTTTTAAAATTTCAGCTCCAGCTCCAGGTTTGAGTATTTCAGAAGTTCATTCCCAATCTCAGCTTGAACCTAAATTTTCTAATTTCTGACTGTAGTTCGCATTTTTTCGGCTGCAATTACGGCTTCTGCTCTAACTCCAATATACAGTATGAATAAGTAGCACCCAGATAAACAAATTGCGATGAAGAAAAATTAACAGAAAGAGAAAAAAGCTCACAAAAAATATTTCGACCATGAAAACCGAATGACCAAGATTGTGGTGATAATGATATGAATAGAGATATAGAGTTTCACATTATTCCTAGTTCCGGTGGATATGTGATGCTAACGATACGAATGCTTAGGGGTCGAAGCTGAATTGAAAAAGGATCCCCAAAACGAGGTACTTCCTCGGATTTCACGGGGAAATACAGAGAGATCCTTCCACCCCCATCTCTCCCATTCCATTTGGACCCGATGATGAAATAATATTCGATAGTCGGGGATTTTCGGGGACGAATCCCCGAAATCCCCTGCACCACACTACTTGTGACATATTCTGACATCGCCTATTCTTCCAGTCGTCTACAAATGGTGCTTGCATCACCCTTACGTGTGATAAACAATTCAGTTGATACGAGTTCTCTCCTACTAAGAGTTTCACCGATTTTCAAGAGTACAATCTAGTGCAATACAATTTTCAGCTCGAAGTTTTCATCGGCAAAGAATGAGTGGTCATCAGTGGTTGATTAATTTATTCATTTACATTTTATTGCGTTTGTTTTTGATGCATTGAAGCATTCTCATCACCATCACAATTCATTAGTTGACGCTAATATGAGTGAAATTAATAATGCAATCAGTCTCATTGCATCAACACTCATCGATGAGCTGTCGTCTTATTCGGCTCTTTACCCAACTTAATAGCAATATACCGTATAACCCTGAATATAAGCGTCACCTGACCGACCTCATATTTTCTCCTTCAAGTTGCACACCACCCAGTACCACCTGCTTTTCCCTAATAGGATACGAATTGCTTGGATTCATTGGGTTTCTCCTCATAATATTTCTCAGCTGATGTCATACTGAAAAAATTTCACGAAAAGCAGCAACGTTACCCTTCTACGAAGGGTGGAGTGAATCTCAATTTTGTAACCTTCTTGAAAGTTTAATCGCTTTTAAGTTGCACATTCCAAGGGTTATACATTTGAGATTACGCAGTATGCAAACTTATAGCATGATTACTAGTACTATTATTGCTGCTAATTAACATACGTAATAATGATACTAATAATAATAGCACTAGTAATAATAACAATAGTAATAATAACAATCGTAATAATAATACTAGTAATGAAAATAGTTATAACAATGGTTATGAGAGCTGAAAGAAGAACTAGATTCTTTTTTTCACCAAAAACTTCAAATTAAACAAATATATTTAAGTAGATTCATGCGAGCATTTATTAGTGTATTTGATCGTACGTTAATGTTAACACTGATAGAAATAAGAGTGCGATATGCATATGCGTGGTGCTTAAAACGTAAACGATATGAATTTGACATATGAATAGTTGAGATGTGATTGAATCTGCTATACTCACTGTCCAACTTACTCCTATCTGCTCTCTGTTTATTAAAAAAAAAACGATCCATAATCGCTTTCTTATCCACGAGATTATCTCTAATATGACATTCAAATTATTCTCATCCTCTTCCTTCTTTCCCTTTCATTCACCCAATCTTTTGTCATTTTGACTTCAATTGTTCATTCTTCGTCAAATACTTTGTTGAAGGTGATCGATTTTTTGCTTCGTATACCACATTAGTTGTATGACATTTGACAGTTGCACGTTGTACTTATATATAACTAGAAACGGTAGTAATGCTAATAATAACAACAATAATGATAATAACGATAATTTCAGCGATGATCATCTCGAATTTATGAAGTGAAACTGAACTACAATCCATGAATTGTGATCTATTTAACATCATTGGCTTTACCAAATGTTCGAGAAAACATTTGCATCAATAAAATGTTACACGACCTACTGTTAATGCTTGCTTTAATGCAGCCAACAGACCTTGATGAATTTTTTGATACATCATCAATTAATAATGGAACTCATTCAAAAGGTTTTCATATCTAGAAGTTTATTCATTATAAAAACGATAATAATAATGATAGCAATAATAATCATAATCAATTTCAGATTACTCGAATGGCTCTTTATTGTCACATCACAAACTGACTGCAGTATCATCCTCATATCTAGCCCCAAAACCGCATACGACTGCTCAGCAACAATTGCAGTCGTCATCGAACCACTTAAAGCCATATCCATCTAACACTACCCCTCCACCATGTGCATACAATCCGAACCAACGTAAAAGTGTTCTTTCAGAAGTGTTGACTGATTATGACAAAACTGTAGTACCATCCAATGAATCTGTATTTGTCAGTGTCGAACTGACCATTCAAGATATATCGTCAATCTCTGAAATAACAAGTTCATTTGTAGCTGATGTTTGGTTCAGTCAAATTTGGACTGATCCTCGACTTGCATATAGGTGCTTAGTATTTTGCTGTTTATTGACTGTTCTTTTCATTAGTTATTAAATCTCATTTTTTTGACCACTTTCACGAATCGTTCATCCAGTGAAAAAGTTAATAGAAGTGATCTAGATTCGATCAGGTGAAACTTGTCTTTTTTTGAATTGTTGTCATGAAAAAACTATTTCATCCAAAGATTCATTCTCTCTCTCATTCCAGAAACTTTTCATGCAAAACGAATTTATCATTAGACAGTTCGGTGAGTGAGCGATTATGGACACCGAATGTATGTTTTGTGAATAGTAAGCAAACTGAAGTGCATAAATCTCCTGCCAGTAATGTCTTATTGATCATCTACCCGAATGGTGATTACTATTGATTTCATTCTTTCGTTCTGTTTTTTGATGGACCGCCATAATTGATAATCACCCAACGATATGGATGATAATATATTGAATTTTGCAGGCACCACTTGGTTGAATTATCGGGTGCGTGTCTCTGGCCCTTGTACGTTTCACTTAAGTAATTTCCCCATTGACAGTCAGGTACGCTATTGATGGCATATTTGAATTGGTAATAGAAATATCATAACATACAATTCTTTTTCTGTTGATTCTAATCTTATATATAATATGCCGTTTCATGACTAATATTTATGCTTAAGTTGATTAATGTAGCATTAGGGAGTATTTGACATTTATTGCATTAAAACTTGATGAATTGTTGTGCTGAACCATGCTCATAACGATTTTGTCTTGAAGCTGTGGTGTTGTCCACATTCAGATATTAGAGTCATTGCAAATGGAGACAAATGATTGATTTTAGGAATGTACACTGATATTCGAATCGTATTCATATAATATTGCTGAGGTAAGATTATTGTGGCAAGAATGGGATCCAGTCCGTGTGCCGGATCCGGACGATTTTCGATTGCCCGACTTTCAATTCTACAATGTCACTTGGGGTCGGACAATGGAGGAGTATACGGCTGGTATGTGGGATCAACTTAAAGTGACTTTGAGGTTAGCTGGAATGAGTCTAAATAATTTAGCAATGCCAATAACAAATTGTATGAATTTGAAGATTCAAACGACTGTATGGTTATTATGTTCTACAAATGTATTTACCAACATATCTGTCTGTATTTATATCGTGGATTGCATTCTGGATTGATTCCAGAGCATTACCAGCACGTATTACCCTCGGTGTCAGCTCACTTATGGCGCTTACCTTTCAGGTATTTGTTTGTTTAATGGAGGATAACTTCTACAGAGCATAATAGCAAGCACATGCATCCATTCAGTGTTTCAAATCTCGTCTTGATGCAAAAAAAAAATCTGAAAATGGGTGGCTTTATTGTTGAATTACATCTTGAATTTTTTTCATGTTTTCAGTTTGGTAACGTTGTCAAAAATCTACCTCGAGTATCTTTCGTAAAGGTGCACTTCTTTTTTCCTCTTCATTCCATTGTTATTAATATTATTTATTAATTTCAATAATAATAACCATTACCATTATTATTCCGATAGCAAAATTGCTATCTTTGAATATTCTAATGCGATTGCTAGTTTTTACAGCATTATTGCTACTCTGAGGACAGAAAACTATCTCTGAAAAAGTTCATTTTCAGGCAATTGATTTGTGGTTTTTCGTGTGTGTCGCATTTATATTCTTCAGTCTTGTTGAGCTAGCTGTAGTGGGCTTTGCAGATCGATTGACTGATTTACGCACAAAGGCTGAACGTTGCAATATACTTCGGTGTCGTACTCGTAAAAAAAATGTCTTAACTGCAAGGTAAAGGACATGGATTTGAGTTATTCATTGATTGTGTTCTTCTAGCGAAAATTTGACTTGGATTAACCCGATGGCATGATGGGTTATGTCATGATCACCTCAACTCTGCTTCTCTGAACGGCTTGCATAGTGCTTCAACTGAATAACCTATAAAGGTTTATTCTTAAGTGCGACTCTTTGTGATAGATGCGTGAATATGCAAGAAGACCCTCTTCTTCTTCAATGCAAAGAAAATTGACCAGTGAGGGCTAGTGGGTAAACTTTAAATCATCCATTCGTATAATCACGTTCAATGCTGAAACGATACGATTCTGGCAAGAATCAATCTGAGCAACTCAAATTGTTACAAGAATAGATAAAAACGTATATCTGCAACATGTTCAACACTAAAAAATTTTGAGTGTCTAGAAATTTGATTGAGTGATTCATGCGAAAAGATTCAAGAGAAGGGCAGAGCACGTATAATTAAATTTATTTGTTTGTTTGATCGAATGTCTATAATCAATGAATAATTGATTCGATGAGCTTCCTTAGAGAAGGCGGTCGGCAGGCAAATGTTCGTTTGATTTTGTATGTTGCTTAAGCAATGAAACATACGAAAGGAAGCAAACTGACGGCCATTACTACGGTAATGTACCTACTCATAGAGCATCACGATTAATGGAACGTATCACATATAAGTATATTCTATCACACAACAAAAACTTGCACAAGAAACTACATTGCTATGCTATAAATAAGCAATAATCATTGTGTGTTAATTAGATGAATAAATGATTGAAACATGCAGTTCAGGAATAATAATACAACAAAGTCTAATACTGCAAATAAGAGCACAAATGTGAGTTCATTGTCGGCGTTATTAAATGTGAGTAGTCATGAAGCGGGGCGAGATGCTCAACAGTGCTCAACAGTGTTCAACAACAGTGGTTCTCACAAACCAACGAAACAATTCGCGACCAAAACGAGCATCATAAGCAACAAATGGCCTCCGATGAGGAGGCGAAAATCGAGTCAAATATTCTCGAATTTATACGATTTCGAATTAGCACCTATCATCGATCGAACAACAAAGCGATCCACTTACAATATGTTCGTTTACCAAAACTCTTGCATGGATCTCCTTTATGCTTGAGAAAATATGTCGTTATCAAAATTATTTCATTTATTGAAGTGAATGAATGTTTAAGTGAGAATAATGCGATAATTGACGGCTGCATTCATCGGTATATACCGCCAGATAGTCTCGGCTCTAAAGTGGACGCTTTTGCTGCAAAGGGCTTTCCGGCATTGTTTGCCTTTTTTAATGGTTTGAATTTGATTCATTTTCAATTGAAGTTAATTGATTCGATATCAGATGGAATGAAAGAAGGAGAACATCAGTCTTTTTTCAGTTATTTATTGGTGGTATTATCTGAGTTGCGAGAAAACGTGATTATATGGTGTATTCAGGAGGACAGTAACACTCATTGATTGCTTATTGTGCGGGTTTAGACGACTACTGTATGTAGATGCTTTATTATATTTCTCAGTCCTTCTTTTTACAATTATTATTGTTATATTATTATTATCATTATTGTTATTATTATTATTATCATTATTATTTTTATTATTATTATAGTTATTATTATAATTAATAATAATAATAATAATTATTATTATTATCCTTATCATTATCATCATTGTTATTGTTATTGTTATTATTATTATTATTGTTATGTTTATTATTCGACCGAATAAACAAGCAATCTGATTATCATTCAGAAAACTGTTCTAAATCAAAATAACTTTTTAATTATAATCCCATATGGAAAAATACACACATAATATAATGAATATGTGTTGTTCTATAAAAAAGAGGTACGTATATGGCTCAAGAAGTTGATTGCGTTTAATTAGTATTTACACATTTTCTTTTGTTATCACTCATAATCGTGATCGGTTATCGAAGTAAGAGTAGAAAGAAGAACAAAGCAGATGAGAGACGAATGCATAGATGGATAGATGAGTGAAGGGATAGATATCATTGAATGGAAACGTGAAATTTATTTTGAGAACTGATACAAATGAAACAAATAAATAAACGAACGATTCATTTAAAATAAAAGTGATAATTTTGAAATGACTCGTCATCTCGCACAACAAAACGAAAACATTTCGAGAATCGTATCACAAATCAACCACGACTAATATTACCCCAAATACCAAATCTACTTCTCTCCGTTCACGCTTCCACCTCCCTCTTTACTTAAAGTTATGCATTCAAATTAGTACAATCCATTTCCTATTTTCCGATTTCATCCCAATGATATGAGGTAAACGAAAAGCTTCTTTTGTAATCTAGTTCTTTTAGTCTCATCTCGTTTTCGAATTCAAACAACAAAATTCTCGAGTGCAAAAACCTATAGAATGGAAGAATATCCCAGTAAATTTATCTTCTTGCGGTATTTTGGCCTTGATACAGAGGTACTCCTTGAAATAGGCAATCTTCAATTATTAAAACTTTGAGCAGACATGCTTTCAACAATTCAACAAAACATTTCTCACTTTGATGCTTATTATTATTTTATCTCTTATTATTATTAGCTTCGTCATTATCCCTTTTATTATTAATAGATGACAAAGCTAATAATACTAAGAGTTAAAATGATAATATGCATTGAAGTAGGAAACGTCTCGTTATTATTATTATTATTATTATTATTATTATTATTATTATTATTATGTATGCATTATTACTATTATTATTACTTTTAATATGTTTATTATTGCAGTTGCTATTATTTCTATTGTTGATATAAGGCCACCAGCAATGGGGTGCATCAGAAAATATACCTCTGACACAGTTACGGTTGCTGTTGATTTTGGGTGTTGATGACTAAAACCAAAATTTATAAGGTGCAATCGTATACATGATATATGTATATAAAAAAGTTCACGTGTTCAATAGGAATGGATCAATCAGATGAAATTGTACGTATCATATGAGTTATGAGTTTGTCGTGATTACTTCTTTGCCAGTACCCCTCACGAACATAACACGAGGTAATTTGTCGGTCAACACTTCCAAATAGTGCATGTAATCATCGAGACCTGAAATGAAGATGCATGCGCATATTCACTTGATTTACTTTCATTAACGAACCCCTCTGCAATTTGTGACTAACCTGTAAATGGCGATTTCAAAAAGAAGCAAACGAAAATGAGGATGAATTAAAATTGAAACGTGTTAAATCCTGACTGACCGTCCTTGCCAACGGGGGGCTTTGGTAAATTCAGCAAAATCAACTGACTCTCAGATGAGTGCTCGACAATTAATTCATTGAGTCGAACGGCTGTGTGCATTTTTCGAACCTTAGTTTAATCGCAATTATTAACTTCATTATCGGTATCATTATTATAGTTATGGAAAAATTAGCAACTTCTTACAAACGTACCTTCTTTTTATCCAAAGCCCTTAACTTCTTATTGCGTTCAGCTTTTGCAGAGGTTGAATCATTTGACTTATTGTGTTGCTGTTGTTGTTGCAGGTTCACATCTCTATGATTTAACCTAACGTTTGTTATATACAAGCAATATTTGCTGATAAAAGCTAACATTATTAAACTCATTAATATCAAAATTGAAGTTATCTATTACTTTTCGCTTGCACCGCTTGATGAATCATGTTTATCGACGACATTGTTGGTATTGTTAGTGGTTTCTTCTTCGATATCGCCATTCTTCTCTGAAATTATCTCGAGTACCTTCTTTTCAATAAATTTCATGTTCATTTCTTCATTGAACAACATAATCCCAGAATGTGACTTTTTTTTAGCTTACCCATAGCCAAGTCTGCGCTTAACTCTGATTTCGTATCGCTTGATGTTGAACGTCTTTCTTTCTCACGTTGTTCAGCCACTACTAATGGCTGAAATTTCAATCAATCACTCACGCTGAGAGACTGATTGTGAGATCAATAGACAATTCAAGATATATGAAAGAACTGATCTTTCACTGATCAGTTTCTTGTGAGAGAGAATATAAAATGAGTGGCAATTGATATGATGTACCATAATGTGATAATGATGTGCTACAATAAGATATAAGATAATTGGTGATAATAGTATCAACAGTGAATGCTCATCGATTAACTAACCGACGGCTTTGCAGTCGGCACACGAAGTCTGTTCTCATACATTTCATGAACAAATTTTGTTCTCTCCTCCATCAGAAGTGTTCTCTCGAAGGCATTTGTCGAGATTTCTGGATCAGCGAGTTCGACTACCTGTAACTTCAGTTGCCAATTAACTGATCAACCACAACACCAACAAAAATTTGAATCGTGATCATAATTAACGCTTTCTTCTCGAATCGTAAATCACAAGTAGATCAATTTTCAAATAAACGAAGTTATCCAATGAATCTGCAGTCATCCTGAACAAACGATGCTTAAAAGATACTGTATGAGTAAGTTTTAAATTCCACCCAAGTTAGATGAGTCATTTGCAATCAGTTATTATTGCTCAAAATATTATAATGCAATGAAGACGTAATCATTATCTTGAATGTACCAGAATTTTAGCATCGATACGCAGTTGGTAAACATACTGCTGTAATTCGGCTTGCATTTTTGTATTATTGTCACGTTCTTGTGCTATCGCGATTACACGTAGCTTACAGCCGCGCCAAACCTCAACAAAACAGTTATTGGTATTATAGATTGAAAAAGGAATTGAATGAGAATAGACGTACTTTGCTTTGTTTGAGAAGATAAGAGACAAGAATGCATAAGCCACCATCTTGCACAATCCAGTACACATCAATTGTTCCGGTCAAACGAAGTGCTGACACCGGAAAATCAGTGATGCCTTTTGCAACAATAAGACACATATCCATCGTTACGCCAGCATGAAGTTTATCTGAATTAGCATTATTCACATTACAATTCTAATAGAATACCTGTAAACGTATGATACACTCCAAACCTGTAAACGTATGATATTCTGAATCCACATAACCCGGAGTATCCAAATCATGATGTGTCGGCCAGCTTAACAAAAGTGTATTCGGCCTTAGGCCACCCATACCGACACTCTGAATTAATGTCGACAAACAACCGCCTATCTGAAATAGCAACATCAAACGAGTCATTCCATAAATGTTTCGCACCAAATTGTTTCACGTAATGAAAATAATGATTATCGGCCAATCATAATAATAATATTAATTCTAATTAAAGTAAATGTAATGACCTGAGTTTCACCGTAAACCAACGTTTTTGCGAAGCCACGTAAGCGTGTTTGATTCATATCGAACATCATACGCACTTTAACCTTTAGAATTAACAGCAATATGATGCACATGACAAAGTGGAGTAAAGAACGAAACAAACGATATTCTTACAATAACAATTAAGGTCAAACCTCTTCGGCTTTTTTGCGATCTTCAACGCTCATCGGATCACCACGAATGAAAGCAACAACGATACATAAGCCACGACCTGCTTTCAGTTGTGATGCCAGATGAATCAAATTTATATAGCGCAAATCAAGCGTTTCTTTCGACCATGGCATTGAAAGCAGCAACAATAGTTGAGGTCTGAATACAAAACATGATACGCAATCACTCAATCCCCTTCCTTCTTATCAAGCGGATTGATGTTACAGAGTTGGACCAGTGCTCACCGACCGAAGCCACGAGGGACTGATCGATCGCTGTCTTCAGAAAACCGAGTGTTAGTGGTTGCTCATTGAGAGTGGAAAAGACCTAGTCACCGAATTTCGATAGACATCGACTGACGTTCAAAATTTGTCGGTAGCAGTCGGGAAAAATGTGCCGATTCCCAACTGTAATGCGTCATAAGAAAAGAGTACTGCCAGTAGCATTTGTACAGCAAAAAACTATAGAGGAAGAAAAATGTACGACGTGAAAGAGAATTTAAAAACCTGAAATTCTTTGGATGTGGATCTTTCTCATCGATTTTCATCAGAGAGAATTGTGCCGTCGTTAAAGCCAATCCACGAATACCGTCACCCCATTCTTTTTTGGCCCTATAGGAGCGAATAATTGATGATGATAATTAGTTTTCGATGATTGATCGCCTCAGTATAAATGAATATTCATTTGATTTCATCTCGATCGTAGTGCGTCTTGTTACAGTTCTTTATTTACGAGACATTGTTCTTTTTACTTGTTACTTACTTATGAAGACGATAATTTTTGTTACTTACGAACAGTAATAATACTAACAATACTCATATACAAAAATAACGAACCCTTTCCATTCGACATACTTATAAATGATAAAGCATAGTGCACATGAAACAATTGCATAATCCCAATGCGTGCTGAACATTATGAAGAAACATAGCACGGCGCCGATAAGTGACAAACTCCTTCAACATAGCGACCTTCATAGGATGAATGTGATGATAATATGGAAATGTTTAATAATGATATTGTGATCAAAAAATGCTAACCAATGATAATATCGAAATCGTGGACGCCAGTTTGGTGCACCCAGTAACGAGTGAAGACAGCAAATGAGATTTACGAATGCATAACACATCAAAAAGAAGAAATCAACTACGGCAGCAATTTGATCCATTGCACCGAGTAATATGGCCAATTCGGCGATGAATGTTGTCATTAACAATCTGGAAATTATCGATTCATTAACAATTAATTCAAAGCCAGTATATATAATAATATCAAGACCATTCGGTTTGCAGCGAAACTTTCGATTTCCGCTCGCGCAGGCAAGTTTCACTCGAAACCAGGTGGTGTGCTAGTATCATTGGTGCTACCAGGCTTGTATCTAATTATCTGTTCATGTTTAAGTAATAACAATAATAATAAGTATGAGCTGAAATAATAATAACTTTTTAATCATTACCCAACAAAAGGTTCATTCTTTTTGGTGACTTTTGCGAATGGACGAAGAATCGGGATAACGTTGTCTTTGGCAATCGATTGTAGTAATCGAGGAGCACCTATAAAAATTAACAATTTATTCACCCTTTATTACCATGACTTTGCTTGATTCGTCTCTCTGAATTGTTGAGAAAACGAGTAGGAAATAGACAGCTCATTTTAATGGCAGAGTGCGACCGTATGAAGTAATTAAAATTAATGTTTTCACATCAAAGAGTCAACGAGCGATATTTAGAGAGATAGATTAATGGGTTTATTTGATGATGAATGATAAAAACTGAAACTCACTACATAAACACTGTAAAGCAGCTCCGAACGTCGATGTGAACGATCCGATTAAAAGTACCCATGCACTTGGCCATGCTAAATTAGCAACAATCATACCACCTCTTAGAGATTGACCATATCTGTAGAGAAACCATTATTAGATATGCATACTTATAATAATAATTATTATACTGGCAGTTTGGAATGAGATTCGGGATGGTGTGTATCGTTCAACAATGCACGTACGAATAGACACGAATCACATAAACCACTCACTTATCTCTGAGAACGGATCCCTCAATGGCAGCACCGAAGACGAGTGCAAGTGAGAAGTAAATAAACGAAGTGGTCAATTGAGCCGCAATTGTACCGCTAGGAATTGAAGACTGAGGATTTTTCAGATCACCTGAAGTTGATATAGGAACGGTTTTAAAAACATATCGATAGGTAAAATCTCTCAAATCAAATTAACATTCAAATGCTGATGACGACGTTGATACGATTTTTTGGTGTGAAACATTCATAAACTTTGAAAAGACTCGGTTGTTGACAATACTTCGTTTTTTTCTGATGCGATCCCCCACCTTCTACCATCATTATCAACAGCAGCTCAGCGAGAGTATCTTCCAGTAACTTACCACTCATATTTGTTCCAGTTAAAATTCCGGTTACAGCTGGGAAATAAATAGCCAATAGAACGAAGAACGTTGTACGAACATCCTGAAATATTTCCGTAGTTCTGTCAGCTTCCAGGCCAGGCGCATATTCATCCTTGTCCATATAGAACGGCCCCGTGTTCTCTGTAAAAGTTTATCGTTGTCGACTATTACTTCAATGCGACACGAACACGAAACATATATACTCACCCATCAGCGCGTTACTTCCAAAGCCCGGAAACGCATTTATACACCGTAAAGGATTGTTCTTCACCAAATCTGAACATGTCTCATTTGGACAAAGCCATGTTGACAGCGGACCTCTAAACATAATCTCTGTGATCGCAACAAATCAATTTAAAGCTCGACACTCATAATAAATATGAAGATAATAATGGTGATAACAATATAATGATTATAATAATAATCAGTGATCAATAAAACCTACGAAACTGAAATATTGCAATAATCACAAATTTGATCAAGTGATACATTTGATGGCAACACAACTTTTGCTTGTAACAGATGATTACCAAGCATACAAACGCTGAAACTCAATTTGATTATGTTTCAAAATTCAGTTTGCAAGACCATGAAAGAGATTTTTGAGAATAATAATAATGATGATAATAATGGTAATAATAATAATAATAATAATAATAATAATAATAATAAATGATAACAATATGTAATAATAAGATTAATCGTAATAATGATATGACTATGAGTCGAAGAAATAACCACTTACTGTTGTCCACCTTCCGGATCCAAAGTTCTAACAATACCGCCTGCATAGCAAGCCAAAATGGAAATAATAACGCAAACTAACGAAACCTGAAAAACGATAAGGTGGCTGTTATCATTTTTCAGTGGTTGGCATCATTTGATGAAGTTTTAATATCGTTAGATATACAAATCAGTATGGTGCTGAGACAGAAAAAAGTCGGAGACGAAATTTTGCAGTCGGGAACCCCGAAAATGTGGTCGGCTCGAAAAAGGTCGGGGACGGTGATTCCGGAGGGGGGGGGGAGGGTTCCCGAAATTGCCCGATCCCCGCACCACACTAATACAAATCATATACAGATCAGTTTCAATCGCTGCTTTTTCAAGATGCATTCAAGACTGTTGATTCGACAGGAAGCACTCACTGGGGCAATAAGTTGAACAAATCGAACGCCCATTGCAACTATAACGAACTCAAGAATGAGGAGAAGAGTTGAGTAAATACGTAGATTATGTGACATCATTCCCATTAAAGCTGAAAGTTTATCAGTTATTATTTTACTTCCACTGTTTGTTATCAGCTTCAGAGCTTCTCGAAATATATAGAAAGCATCGGAACCGGTGTGAAATTTTTTGAAGAACTATTCATTGACCTGTATCCGAGTGTACTTCACGTCCCCCGATTGTTAAACCCGGAAAAATATACAGCTGAAATGAAATGGTGAATTGGCGAGTTGAATGAGAATAGCAATTATAATAGGATTATCAGCACAAAAATAGTCAGCTGAATTAATAAAATAGCATTGCACACGAGCAGTAAAATCACTATCGCTCAGTCAAATAATGCATTGTAACGAAGTCATAAAATAATCGCGTAATAGTCGAGAAGTTGTCTTGTTGAGATGGTTTCTTGTCAGTAATTGTAGCATCAAAAACAAGCAACATACCAAGATAATTTCGACACCACCCACGAGATACATAGCCGCAGCGACTGTGTTCGCTAAATAAAGTAGGATGCCCAAAGCTGAACCGAATTCGGGACCGAGATTTCTGGAAATCATAAAGTATGGTCCGCCACTTTCGACTACACCATTGGTTGCGACAGCCGATAGACTTATACACGTTAGAAAAGTCTGCAATTTGGAATGAGGTATGAATATATGAATATGAAAAGTATTTTCTTGCAATGAATTAAAAATGACGAACACAAAGACAGCATAGGAACAAGAGTAGAAACGTTTGTGCAACACCAGCAATGCCAACCACCCAAAATAAACGAATAAACATTGTTACACCAAGGATATGCTGAATCGTTGGTAAATATACACCAAGCATCACACCCAACGCAGCCTAAAATTAATTTTAGGTCATCATGGATTGGTAACAAAATTATAATAAAAGCAACAAGAATGGCTATGATGAACAACCTTCGTATTTTTACTCTCTTCACGCTCTCTTGGCCCCGGTGTTGTATAGGCTCTAAGATATGAGCTAACGAACGGTACACTTGGCTCTTCGAACAAAGCCAAGTTATTGCCTCCAACACTTTTACGTGTTTGAAATGATCCCCACGATTGAAGTCCATTCGGCTCTTCAAATGCAGTATTTTCTCAGAATATGTGATTAAGAATATCAATAATAACCTCTTAAGAATTCAATAAACAATGCTAATACCATCAAGACCAAATGTACTAATTCGTCGTTGGATGTCGAAATCTTGTAGAGCTGCCGAACTGAAAGATGAAAATCACATTCAACTCCTGTTCAATCAGAGATCTTCTCAGATGAGAATTATGAAAGGCACCAATCAAAGAATAAGGCATTTTGCAAATCTGTAACGTAAAGTCGAATAATACTCTTTTCGAGAGCATTGTACTAGCATTACATTGCAAGTTATACATCGCATATCTTTATTTTCGAAGTATCATAGTCAATTTCGTATTCAACAGTCATGAAAACTGCAATGAGACTTTTTAAAGGCTAGCTTGTCTTCTTTCGTGCAATTTTATACTTACTTCTGATTCGAATCAGGTGTAAGAATTGGGGCCGATGAATTATTAAGTGATGCTTGATTCTCGGTACTCTTCTCCATGAATATTTTGTTCCTCCACCAAGGGACCTTGCTGAAAGAGATTGATTCGTTGGTCATTTCTAAGATATTTTTGACACTTGTCCACTGTTTTCTCAAGTTTTCCACTCCACCAGTCCCACAGAGGCTTAATTGTAGTCATTTCTTTGTCTCTTTAGAAAAATTTTTTTTTTTGAAGAAAAGTTCGAAACTCAAAATTTTCGTTGAGGTTGAGAATAAAAAGAAATAAATGGGTTAGAAAGAGAAAGTACGTGATACTGATAAGTGTAAGAAAGGAAAAAGACAAATTGTAATAATATTATGAAATGAAGTCGAAAACCAGAATATATCAGTGATTTTATAAAATAAACGATTTTGATAATATGTCGTCATCAATTTATTTATTTTCTTATTGATTTTGACGGAATTTGCGAAGGAGTATTCCTCCAACGATAGCAAAAACGTTTACGAAAAAGAGAGAATAGCGATCACAATCAATTGAGAAATCGATAAGAAATCAGAAGTATAAGTTCTGAAATGACAGTATGGAATGATTCAAATAAATGAAATAGTGATTCATATAAGTGAAGCATGCTCATGAACTTTAGGGAATCATCGTAACAAAGAATGATAGGTAAAGCAATTCGTTTCGTTCAATACGCTATTATTAATAAATGTCTCTTGAACAATCATTATTCCTGATCATCGTTCTCCTCCTAGTGGCCTTGAGCAATTATAAGCGACTAATATAAATTTTAAGGTAGTTAAGTATCCTCATAATTATCCGTCCCGTCAATATGGCTATTAGCTTGAAGAACTCCAATTAAATCTTCAGTTTCAAGCGTCTAAGTGTGAAATATTACATGATGGAATTGATTACACAGTAATAATAAATACATACGTACGTACTGCTATTACATTGGTATTGTTATTATCACAATCAGTATTGTGAAAGAGTGTGACATAATTAAGTGATTTATCACATATTATTATCATTATTGATTACTTATTGGCATTTGTATCTATCCAACTAACATTGCCATCTTTGAATTCATCATTATCATTACTATTATAATTTCTAATCTGATTCTCATCACTAGCGGTCATTCGAATGTTATTACAATGCCAACTGACTAACGATTCATAGTAATGATGATTGCGTTTTATCATGAACGCACCAACAAATGATTGAAGTGTGAATATAAGATGATACGAATAATGAATTGTTTTGTGATACATAACAAATTAATAATGAAGCGATCAGTAATGTGACAATATAAATCATTTTTGATTCAATCACTTCACGTACCGCATCTTGATCTATAAACAGTTGTGTTATTATAATATTACTACTGTAACACTATAAATATTGAAGAAATTATGCATACTTTCGAGCTTCAAGCATTTGTCGTGGCTCATTAACTCCCGAAACACTTAGTCGTGGTTTGTTGTGCTGGCGAGGTTCAGTCATCTGAAACGACACATTTATCCTCTATCAACGTTCTACTTATTTGCACACCTCATCAACAATATTTCCATCCAGTCATACATTACCAGACTTAAACAAATGTCAATTTTATCACATTAACAATATCATATCATCCACCTTGTCAACAGTTCAGTCAATGGTATCATCACAATTCGTATTATCGAAAAATGGCTCAGAAAATGCGAAAACAACTCAATCGAATGCAGTTGAGCAGTCAGCTAAACACGTTTATTGAAAGTTTGAAAAAGAGAGCACAAGGTGACGAAATGAGCCGGGATGACATCCACGAACAGATTAAATTAAAACAATTTCATAGGCGATTATCAAACACAAATTAAACTCCTTTTGGTAAGTGCATTCCGAATGGCAAAAGTATTAAAATCGAAAAAAAAAATCATTAAAAACCGATTGTAGATAACAACTGGATCAATTGGCAGACCGTATTCGCTTCAGTCCATATATTCAAATGAATTCGCTCATATTTGGTGTCCTATCTATTGGAGAATTTGAATGCAAATTGCTATTTGTTATTAGCGTTATTTTATTTATGAATATTATTACTATTATTGTTATCATTACTATTTCTATCATTATTATCATTATTACTATTATTATAATATTATTATCATTATTATTATATTATTATGATCATTATTAGTACTATTATCGTTTGGTTTATAATGATTTATCGTTTTATGGGAAAAAGCAAGCGATCATTAAGTGAATGTGGAACATATGATGGATGTGTATATCTATTTGCATTTCGAATTGAGATTAGGAGCGGATCATTTCATGACAGCACATTCGCATTCCAACATCTAATTTGCATATTTACCAGTTATAATTCGAAGCGTGACAGGGAAAGAGTAAAAGATAAAAATCATTGAGAGAGAGGGATTTTATACACAGGTCGAGATTTGTATAGCACAAGTGCGTACAGCACTAGAATATTGTTTAGATGAATATAATCGAACAATAAATCGAATACCAAAGGGAATTGCATGGATTATAGATTACTCATTCAAGCCAATACAAAAGCAAAGTTCTAAATTTCTGAGCATGAATCAACCCACATATGTATTCTATGAACAAACAATGCTCGAAAATTTCACATTAGAAAAATATTCCACTATCGTCTTACAATGATTATCAAATTTTCAGCAACTCAACAAGAAACGAGCCGAAATTTCGGCTAGTACTTGGCTTCCGAGTCTTGCATTTCCAATTCCACCACAAATGAATCCCCATGCTGAATCAATGAATCACCATAACGTGATCGTAATTCCAAAACGTTGATGGGAATTGAAGTGATTATTTGGAACGACTGTTTCTTGGTGATTGAAACGTACCTATAAATAAACGAATGTAATTGATTTATCGGCTGATGATCAACGAAAATAAAACAGTACAATTAAGAACAGAATGAAGATGAAGGCTAATTATTTTACTTCGCTCTTTGTATATGCTACTGTAGAATCCACTCGTCCATCTTTATCATCTTTTCAAATGAACGGAGATGGTCGCAAAAGTTCAGTGTTCCGAAGTTAATTCTGAAGTCGTAGTATCCGAACTCGTCTCCATGGGTGCCCTGATGGGGTCATCATCGCATCTCACAGGTGGACGAGCGTCACAGTAATCGTCGAGTCCCTCATTTCCTTGATTGTATCCTGTCCAAAAGTCTGATTGATTCGTCAGATGGATTTTGCTGTTGTTAGTTATAAGCGATAGTCACGAATTGAATGTGCGCGAAAATGTTATTTTTGCATTGTTTACTTAAACATCGACAGTTTTCAATGAGCCTTTCTCGGAAAGACACAATTTGAAGTAGCCTTCAAAATGCACCCAAACAACTTCAATGAACATAAGTAACGACTACAATATCGATCAGAAAATAAATGATTCCGCCGAAACTGCAAAAGTATATATTCATTCATTCATCCAGAATCAATCGCAAAAAATGTTCATTACACTGACGCATCATTCTCGTCATTTTCTCCTCTTATATCAGTTTATCTATTTTAAAATCCATTCATTCATCTATACGTCCACCAATTCTTAAAAAATGCAACTGAGCATTCAATCAACACACAAGCAAACAACAACCACAAACATAAATATATTACCAATACCAATATCAATACCAATTTCTTTATCCATTCAGAAAATTATCTGTATCCACTGAATCCACCATCAATCCATTTATCCATTCATTCATTTACCAAATAATCTTCACTCATCTCGTTACTCCTCCTTATTCTCAGTCCCGTCAGTCTCATATTTGCCATTAACGAACACAACAATACACTAACCAGCACATAAGAATCACAACCAGGATTTTACATTAAAATGCATCCATCTTAATCGTCCACACCCACCCTTTAATGTTCACTGTGAGCCCGCGATCGCACCAACAATCAATCAACTGAATCTAATCTTGTCAGTATACTTTATTATAAATCCAATATCCATCACAATAATCCCACAAGCATACTCCATTCTTTTATTTACTTGATCTGATTTCATAGATCAATTCGCATTAGCATAGTTGTTTATCTATTAACCATATGATCATGGTCATTAAAGTGTATCCATTAATCATATCGGTGTTCAAATCAAAACAATTAGCGCATATTGAGCCGAAATGAATGAATCGAAATTTTTACCATAAACGCTATATTTACTTTCCTTATGGATGCGAATCAAGAAGCTTTACGCTTGTTTGCTAGATATGAGTGTAGCACTGAATGATCAAACGTCATTGTTGTATTCAAATTACTGTTCAGCAAATGAATTTGGTTAAAAATTTGAATGTGTGCCTCTTCGTAAGGATGTGCTTTCATAGATCGAACAGAAATACTAGTAATTATCCATAAAAATATTTTTTGAAGAGCACAGTCGAAAAGACTAATCGAGCTGTGCTCATAAAAACTACAAGCACAAATGTGATCTGAATACGAGGTATGTATTTGGTGACTTCGATAAGTAAACATGCATCTTCGTGTGAAGCGTTAATGACTACTTTCATATAACTAAGTTTTTCTCAACTTAGTTCCATCCATCCATCTAGCGTGTTTCGTATCCAAATGTGAAAATATTTGTTTGTCTAATGCTATTTTTATTTAGTAATGGCTGCTATGGAACAGATATAATATAGATGTATGCAAAGCATGATGACAAAGAATCGATGTATTATAGTAACGGTGGATTAATGCAATAGTCAACTATTACACCTAACGAAGCCGAGAAAGCTACACTTGACTGCTTAGCTGTCTGTTTGGCTGCTAAGTGAAGTCCAACAGTGAACGAAGAACATCAATTGGCCGGGCTGATAGAGCAACTAGAGTAGTAACAACAGCAGCCGTTTGGTGTTGCTGAGGTGTGGTGTGTGTGCATGGATGGATGGGTTATGTTCAGATGATAGCTGCCTTTATAAGCAGCTTATCTTCCTCCTATTCTAGCTTGATGAGCATGCTGTTCGTTCAGTTAGCAATCCTATCTATCTCACTGTCAGCGTATCTACCTAGCCATAGTCTCGTTCAGTTAATCTCATCTGCAAAAGCAATTATTTACTTATTCGTTCATACGTTTAGCACGTTTTCAATTTTATGTATTTCCAAATGCATCTAATATTGCTTTCTTCTGTAATGATGATAACCGTTTTGAATGAACAACATGTGGATTCGGCCAACTGTGTTCTCCCATCTGATTGATGATGATCACGTACTCAAAACACTCCATGTTCAAAAATTCAACTAGGTGCATATTCGGTTGGCATCACCATAAAAACTTGCCTCCAGACAAATGAATACCCAAAGAACAGTAATAATCAATCCATGCATTCTTCCAGTCGGTTTATTCTAAACAACTCTTACTTTCTCTTCCTTCACGTTCTCCCAATGTGCAAACCGCTTTCAACTTCTTTCTTTCACTAGCGTATTATCTGTTCGTCTAGATGTGTGAAGACGAACGGATGATGATTACGTATGTCCTTTTGTCCATCCATCCATAAATTCATCCTCCAGTCATTTCTTGTTAGAATTTCATCAATTACTTACTAATCAATTCAAGCATTGCTCATTATTATTCACATTCCTACAGGAACAACATGAAAATTCAATTTTCTCACTGAACAACTTATGACTTTTACCATTATTCATTGCATCCCTCGATTGATTCATTCATATTCTAAATTGTACCTATTCATTTTTTCATTCTAAATCCAGTTCAGTCATCCATTCGCTCGTTTTTTTTTCATGATGTTCTTTGCATTCTGACGATTATTTCATTGTTTGTCCAGAAATTTGATGTCTCAATCAAGCTTTTGGTACTGTTGCTAATTGATCATTGCTAACTGATCAGATGTGCAGTGATGATGACAACTGTAAAATAAGCTTCTTTGTTACTGTATATTTACCAACTTTTGGTGATTGAATGAAACAGATAAGATCTACAACGTTCAATGCACACGTTTAAATAGTTGTTGCTAATGGCTCGCACCTTGCTTGCATCCTGCTTCACATCCATCCATCTTTCTTTCGTTACCAGCTAAAGCCTCAGTCAGAGATTCTGTAGTTCAGTAGTTTTCAGTAGTAATTGCTTCTCATATTACTGCTTATAATTATGATTATTAGTAACATTAATAGTTTCGTGTCAAATTTTAATGAAAAGCCAGGAAGAGAGCAAGTTGAAGGGAAAACAAAAATATCGCGCATAGCTGCCGAATGGGATATAGGTATCATGGATGAAGGCTGTAGATATAGTTAGTTGATTAGGAACTAGGTATTAAAGTTTGGAGAAGGAAAATAAAAAGAGTGCTGAGATAAGAGTGTGGACGATAAAGAGAAAAGAGTAATAAGCTGAAGTAGGATGAAATGAAATGAATGAGTCGAGTGTCGATAAATCGAATGGCTGATTGAGGTTGTGATGGAGTATCGAGAGTGAAAGAAATGAATTGATAATGACGAACGAGAGTTTGAATGGATCGTTGGAGGGTTGGATTAAAGGCTAGGGAGAGGGTGTATGCATGGATGGACGAATGGATTGATAGTTGGATAGATGAGTAGACGAATAACGGAGTGGCTCGCAATAAGTGGCAGTTATCTATATTAGGTTGAAGTGAAGAACAACCAAATTATCAGCTCTTCGTTAATTCGTTAATTTTAAACCGACTTAAATTCATCACTTTGTCATTTGCGAGCGATCTAATTAAGTTCGAGTCATAATTAACAGTGGCAATGAAAGTAATGCCAATCATTATTGTTGCTGCTATTGGCGTGATTGTTGTTCTCATTTTTATCACTTCAGGTGGCTTGGTGGGCAACTGGCGAGATAAAGGAATATATCAATCGTAACTTACAAATAACATCAATCAGTTGCATCTAACATCTGAAAGTGATAATCGATTGAGTGACAGCGATATTCAAGCGTTGATCTATATAACTGTTAATTGATCGCGACTCGACTGCGTTCTCTGAAGTGATATCGCATCGATTTTATCCGTCGAATATCGACTTGAATCCTCGACTCGAGTCTCATCTCGTCATCCCGCAGTAATCCTAAGCAAGCTAATAACTTTTCATTTCGCCCCTCTCATATCATACAAACCTGATTAAATCTGCTCGAACTATTACTATATTTCAGCTCTGCTACCATATCTCATTTCCTAATCTCGCACAACTCCTATTTTTAATTCTTTCTTCTCGTCCACTTCACACGTTTCTAATCCACTCGCACCGTTGAAAATCACTCATTCAAGTGCGTTCTGTTGGTTCTCAACTTTGCTTCACTATAAAACAAGACGGACATATTTACAACATCAGCATTGTTATCGTCCTCATCACATCACTGTTCGTTAATTCATGATCATATCGTATCGTCGCCATTCACTACTCGTCTCAGTAACGAACATCACTATTAAAATGTTTTGATGACGAAGAAATATGTGATTAGTCGAATGACTATTCGGTATTTTTTCATATTCTCTGCTTCAGTTGCTCATATTTTATTCGAAGGAAGCATGAATAAAAATGCATATTCATTTGATCACTGCTGAAGTCATTCAAAATTCGAGTCGTTCACAACCATCCGCCATATCCACTCAAAATCACTTCAATTAGTTATTTTCTCGTTATAGCTCATCTTCTGACCTATCGTCAACAACTGAATCTGATCGTCTGCAGTCCTCATATTGTGAAAAATATTTTTCAAAAGTACTAACGATTTGAATTAGTATTCATTGTCAACTAATTATGGCTTTAAATGAACAGTAGTATGTTCATCATTGGTACTACTTATTGTTTTTATGATTATTGACACTCTTATTATCACTGAAATTATAACAGTTCTCATCATTATTAGTATTAGTTGCATTGAAAATACACAGTAGAGGTGAATTATTAAATAACTGAGCAAACTGAACTGATATATTCTAGTTGACAACTGGCATGTCATTATTGCCGTGAAATATTGTTCAGTGATATTACTTCACTTGAAAATACTTTGAGAATAATATCGTCGAGATTCCTCATTTATTACTATTATTGTTGCTGTACTTTCACAAGGATTGTTACAATTACAGTAAAATTGTTGAAGTTAAAACTGTATTCTGCAACCATTGACACTTTATTAACTAACTCAACAAGTAATTTTGATGTGTTCATCAGCAACTTGAAAATTTATCGATACTCCGGGTCGTGTTGCTTCCAGCAATTGCATTCATTCAGTTGCTGCATTTTTGTGATCATCAGCGTTTCTTCATTAACATTAGTTTTGCTATCAGTACTATTACTAGCACTGTTCTCCCTGCTACTAATAGCATTCTCATTATTATCACTATTGCTATTATCACTGCTACCGCTCCTACTATCATTGAAATTACTATTATTGGCTAAGTTCAGTTCCACAGCTGCTATATTAGTGGTGGCCATAATGGGCCATTGTGCCTCTCGCGATCAAAAAGATCAAAAAAAGCTGAATCGTAGGATTGATGAGCAGATCCGTAAGGACCAGTCGATGTCATTACGTATCATCAAACTGCTTTTATTAGGTGAGCAATCATTCATCCGTTTTAAATCCGTTTTTTTATGAATCAAACTGTCTGCATATCACTTAGAATGTGAAAGTATTATATGCTACTTTCTAACAGTTGTATCAATTTCAGGAGCCGGTGAAAGTGGCAAAAGTACGATTCTTAAACAGATGAGGTATTATTCTAATTACTATTACTGTTTGATAAAATGACATGAATTGAGCTTTCTTCGTCGTGCCACTCAAACAAATGATATTGATATCATGAAATCGATTGTATTGTTAACCGTAAAGATTTTGATGAATATCATCATCGATAGATGCATTACATATGAGTATTTATCTATATGTACATACACTCATTTTGTACTGACATTGCATGTTGTAACAAGAATTACTTATTACTGATTATCACATTTACTAACCTCCGGAGCAAAAGCTCTTTAGTGAGCACATCAAAGCCCGTCTGTGGTGACCTTCTTCAAAATATATTCAATTTCATTTGTCATATAATATCAGTATCATTATCACATATCATTGTTTGTTCATAATTGCTTATATGAGAATATGAATGTGTGCATAGATTGAATTTGAAGAATACCTTTTTTCCACTGGTCGGAACATCATAAAATATTTCTATATATAAAAGTATACTAAGGTTGGCACGGGCACTCCGTCCTTGCAAGGATGAAGACTGGGAGAGCAGAAGTGATATTTTTCTCACCCCGCGACTATCATACCCCCTCCCCCGGGAAAAACCGATGAATGTAATGAGAATGATTCAAGCTTCCTTACAGTGCAGTTGACTGCTTCTCGAATAATTTATTCTTAGCACGGTTGCAGCAGTTTAGCTTCCACAAGGGGAGAGGGGGAGAACTGACTTGAGGGGAAGACGCCTGTGAACAGTGGCAGTCAATGAGGTCGAGGGGAACAACTGAGGAAGAGGGAAGAATTCCTCTATTGAAAGCTTTCTTTGAATTTCATTTGAACAAGTTGGAAACGGATAAATAAAAATAATTTATTCTGTTCTCACGTGAAAATAGAGATGTTCCCGTTCGCATTTTGCTGTGATAAAAAAGAAACGATAAACCTTCGCAATAGCAAGGATAATGGGACAGATCTATTCTGAAACACTCTCTTTACAAGATCGCTTGCCCAACCCGAAGAACTTCATCCAGCGTTTGGGTCGCGTGGGAAATCTGCCTAAGCCTCAGTCTAATTTCACTGCTTTGTGACGCTAGGATTGGCGAAGGCGAAAATTCCTTTTTGCGACAATCTTTGAGACTGTATCCTTGCAGGGAGACCATAGGGACGCGGAGACCTAAATTCGTCGCCGTGCCACATCCTTAACGTAAATATAATTATGTAGATATATAATTATGCACGAATGTCGTTAGTTGTGTATGGAAAGAATGATGCCATGGAAGGATGAATGTACTAATATTTGTGATATGATTGGTGGGTGATTTAGAACAGAGAAGCATAAACTCGTAACGAGTTAATGTCAATGGCGATTCTTCAAATCAGACGTTGTACGATGAGCCTATTTCTGAGTTTGCCTAAATAGAGTAGAGAGGGCTTACCATTAGGTCAGGAATACTTTATGAGGTGTCCGAATGTTTTAGTTGTTATCATTCCAGGTTTTTAGCTAGTTGAATGAATAAACAAAAATTTATGAATGTTAATAAACGATGAATGGATAAAAGAATGAATTTCTTATGAATACGATGTTATCAAGTCTTATTATAGAATACTTCATAAAGATGGATTTTCGCAACAAGATCTCGAAATGATACGACCCGTTGTTTATAGTAATTGCATACATAGTATGCTTGCGATTCTCAGGGCAATGTTTCACTTACAAATTGAATACGGCGATCAAGAACGTGTGGTACGTGTTTTGAATTCAGTCAACATATTCAGTTTTACTATCACGTGGAATGATTTACCATAATGGATGAATTTGAGCGTGATAGTCAGTTGGTATTTGCAACCGTTCATGCAAATAAAGAAGAACTCACCGAAGAGCTATCAGCCGCCATGCAACGACTATGGATGGATAGTGGTGTTCGCGAATGCTATCGTCGATCGAATGAATACCAGATCGATGATTCCGCTAAATAGTATGGCTTTTATCACTTTATATTCATTTACTCACCTATCTAATCCATCCGTTTGATCGTTAACTCTACAATTATTATGCTGTTGACATGAACGTTTTCAACCGAATTTGAATAAGTTTATGCCAGTCTATACATCTGGTACGGATATACTTGAGGCTGTTGTAAGCTTATTTTCGAGGGTAGTTAGAGGCTAAATTCAAGCCTGATTCGAGCAGATGAAGCTAAGCCTCATCCTTGTTTATCGTTGCATTTGGTCGTCTTTTGCAGATCATCAAAACTCTTAAAATAATTTCAGCTTTTTGGATAATTTATCGAGGTTAAGCGCTCCAAACTATTTGCCAAGTGAACAGGATCTTTTAAGAACACGAGTGAAAACAACTGGTATAACAGAAGTTTTATTCGAATTGAAAGGTCTAACGTTTAGGTTGGCTTTCTTACTCTTATTACTATTGTCGTGAAGTATTAAGCTCAAACTTATTGTCCCACGAGAAAGTTTTGTTCAAATGCACCATGAATCAAACAAACAACATACAACTAATATCTATCACTCCGTGGACCACCAACGAAGCAATTTGCATATTGATCGCATACTTTTCTGTCTTATAACCTTTTTCTAGTATCCTCTTAATCAATGTCTACAAGTCGATCAGTTAATAAAAATTTCAATGCGAAACACCAAATGCAGAGTTAGAATTTCGAAAGTTTATCCCGAAAATGCTGGACTTGAGCAGCATGAATCTGTTTACTCTCGAAACATCAAACATTTGTTCTTCTGTGACCGTAACTGACACAAACCTGGGAGGATATCTGAGTTTATGATCGAAATAGCGGTTTGTTTAAGAGTGATAGATGTTGGAGGTCAACGTTCAGAAAGGAAGAAATGGATACATTGTTTTGACAACGTTAATGCTATCATTTTCATCTCTTCGTTGTCCGAATACGATCAAACGTTACGTGAAGACAATTGTACGGTAAGCTTCATGTAAACAGTTATTGTTCTAATATTATTGTTATGTTGTGCTCACGTAAAGAAAATAAAAAAAGTACAGAATCGAATGCAAGAGTCACTAAAATTGTTCGATTCGATCTGCAACAGTCCATGGTTCGCAGATATACACTTCATTCTGTTTTTGAACAAGAAGGATCTCTTCGCTGAAAAAATTGTCCGATCTCCGTTGACGATTTGTTTTCCTGAATATAAAGGTTATTTTTGCAATGCATTTTTCATTACTACTATTTTGTTGTTATTTTGGTTATTGTGATAATATTATTCTACTATTATTACTATTGTTAGTATTATTCTCACTATTATTGTTATTACCATCCTTACTATTCTAGGTCAGCAAAACCAATCCGAATGTATAAACTACATTCAATGGAAATTTGAGCAGTTGAACAGGTATGTTGTCTATGGAAAGTTCAAGTCGGTTAGGTGCACCGTTAGGTTGTACTTGATTAGTTATGGTCAAAAGATAATTTCACAGATGCTCAATACTTTTACGATGGTTTACTGAATTAGTTTAATCGAATGGACTATGGTTAAGTGACTGTTGAGTAATTGATTTCATGAGTCAAATTACAGATCATCACAACGTGAAATATATTGTCATCACACGTGCGCGACTGATACGAACAATGTTCAGTTCGTTTTAGATGCTTGTTTAGATATGATTATTGCGAAGAATTTGAAATCGATGGGTCTTTGTTGAGACTTCGTTTGTTTATTTGATTACGTTCTTGTAATCTGATCACTCGCATTCTCATCCGTTTATGTATCTCTTTTATCAACCAGCACGCAAAAATCCTATTGTTATTATCATTACGATTATTGTCATCGATACCAATTATTTTAAATGATTAATTTAATTCCTAAATGCAGTGAAATTCATTCCATTGTTATTTCTGATAATAAGTGTATGAAATAACGTTTCACAATGATTTGTCCGTGGAACTCTGTGTACATTGTTATTATTATTACCACAATTATTATTATTATTATTAATGTTATTATTATTAAGATTGACTTGTCCAGAAATAAGCTTGAATAGACAGGTGACTGAAGAAAGAAGCGATTGAAAGGCCGATCGATATGAAGAATTGCTTTGAATATGAGCCAGTTAGAAACTGCTCGTTTATTATTTAATCGAAACAGTCGCATCAACTGCATATCATTGCGTCGTTAGCCACCGACCCAGACGATCGAGGGTCGCAAAGACCCTCATCCGAAACCAAAAGCCACCCGACGACAAGCACGTTTTGCCACTGCTAAGTGCTTGCCATCGTGTCGGTGGCTACCGCAAAAAAAGATGTCGGTTTGCAACTCTGGTTTATACGTATGAATAAAATAAATGCTGCACATAATAATAATAATAATTGTGGTAACAATGATGTTGGATTGTGATCAACAAACAACCAATTGACCGTTTCACCAGCCAAATTAATCTGCTTGCATAAACGCATTTGAAATTAAATTCTGTTATAAACTACAGTTAACGAGATGGATAACCAGTTTTGATCGTCTCACATTGCAGTGGTAAAATAACAGTTTTTGTTAACACCTTATAATTGTTTTCTTTATTATTGTGATTATTTTACTATTATTATGACTGATATGAAGAATTATTAATTGTTCATTCACTCATTTATTCAGCGCTGTATTGCTTTAGTCTGTAAATGCGGTTCTTTTTTCGATTATATTAAATAAGAGTTTGCAACAAAAATAATTTGATGTATCCAAATAATGCTATTTGCATGAACAGATAACCACGTTTCTTCGTCATTTTTTGATCCCGAAGTGCTCGAATTTGTAATAGTAGCATTTGCACGAGTTAAAAGTACTTGCATCTTGGAGGCACCTCTTGAACCATATGTTCAACTAGCTCATGACCAATACGTTTTTTTCCGATCACGTAGGATTTCATCATGACCGTCTGATCAAACATTCTTCGAATCGACATTCACTAATTTCATCATCTGATGATAGTTCAATAAATATATTTTAGTACACAGAAAACACAAAGGAGAAATCGCACAGCAAGAACCAAAAATTCGTGCAGAGTAATTATCCTTAGTTGGTCCGTTGCATTGCCGCTTTGCAATGTATGGCCATTCGGAAGCTTGATGACGGAATAGGTTTTCATTTATTTTCATTCTCAACGATATGATAACATTTACAGGCTTGAGATGTCCTTAAAATTCCATTGAAAATCCTCGTATTACGAATGCATAGAGCCGGGTTTAGAAAGGCTGCTTAATTCTGATGTTATAAAATAACCGGTCGTGCGAGAGTTAATGATGAGAATCAACTGAACTTTTATATGGCTATTCTCTGGGATCAAGAGAAGACGATCAGTTCTTGAATTAAGGGGAAACTTAAACAGTGGACGCAAATAAGTTTGCGGAATTAGTCATTTGTTTGCTTGACAAGTGCATAATGATCAAATTAATTTCAGGTAAAGATGAATAAGAAAAGAATCGAATCAAACAATGCAGCGGAACAATGATATTAATACTAATAATGATAACAATAACGAAAATCGATGCGACACTCAACTTGAAAAGATATAGAACATTACAAACAAAGCGCGATGGTTATCATCAAAAATGAAAAAGCATAAAGCTAACTAGAACATACAGCATTTATCACCCGTGAATTGTGCTCGTATTCACGTATTCCAATCCATCCGCATTTTCAGCCACAATGACGTTCACATTCACATAAGCGGGGTCGTTCCTTGCTGATAAGTCTGCAGGCGACATCATCTACAACAATAACATGAAGCATAATAACTCTTGTTGCTCATCGCAAGAATTGGTTCAACTGAAACCAAATAAAACTAACACTTAAATTTCCATTCTGTGTGCAAACCGCATCCTCAACTGGAATCGTGCAATTACTCTTAACTAACTGCTTGTGACTCATGGCTGGTGTACTCCCTTCTGATGGTGAATCACGTCTCGGTGGCACTGGTGGAGGTGCTAAACGAGGCGGTCCGCTGTCGGTTTGTGGTGGCCATGTCTGACGCTTAAACAGTAAAATACTGCTCTTTAAAACATTCTTTTTTCATAACGGTCAGTTCAAAAGTTGAATGAATGTTTCAATAACCGGTCCGTAAGAAATATAATAACGAACATTCTGCACAGTATTCGTATCGATCAATGTCTCATATCCCAGGCGACGTTTCGTTACAGACGGATCAAATGAATCGATAACGATTTTTTCGGTACCCTTGATCTCACAACGACAAAATGGACATGTACTACCACCATCTGACTCCTTCAATTCTATTCTTATTAAATAAAACATCGAACGCTAAGAACAATCGAATCAAATTTCACAATGAACAATAAATGAATCACAAAAATGAACCTGCCAACTCTGCAAGCATGGCGTACAAAGAAGATGCCCGCATGGTTCCAGTTTAACATTCTTGTTATTTTCAGCACAAATTTTACACATTTCAAATGTTGTACCCATCTCACAATAAATTTGATACTGCTCTGGTGTCACCTTAAAAGTATAATTCAATCCAATCAAAAGCAAACACGAAGTCAACTTGCAACCAAACTACCAATAACAATGAAGTAATCACCAAATCAATGCTCAAAATAATCTCTTACTTCAATACTCCGTGATGATAATAAGAATAATACTAGGAATAACAATAATGGTAAATTAGCAAACGGACTACCTTCAAGTGACCCTCAGGCGTCGGCTGAAGTGCATGTGTGAGATCTGGATTAACGGGTCGTCCATCTGGATAACGATAACTAAAATTATTAAGACTCAACTCATTGTCAGCAACAAAGAAAACAACTGGCGGCATTTCAAAGTAATAATAATACAAATAATGATAACAGTATCATAAGTGCTAACAAACATAATAGCACTATTTAATGAAAAGAATAAATAAAAACGTTAACATTATATATATACATGAAAAAGGAACTACTTACAACCCTTCTCTGCTTCCATCAACTAACGCTTGTATTAACGACTTATTTTGCGGTATTGTTTGATAAATTTTTCCATCCGGAGCTACATAACCGACAGCCCACTGACCTAATCTTGTACAAGATAATCGAAACACATAACTGTAATTTGGTTACACTTAGCACCGAAAATCAACTGCACTTGACATAATTTTGCTGAGGATAACATCAACAACAACAATGAAAGTATGAACGGAAATAATCTGCTCACCTTCCCGGCCTACTTGTATATTTTTGTAATTTTTGTTTAACTTCATCATATGTCAAAAATGCCACATAACCTGGATGAGTAACTGCTAACAGTTGCCAATTACGAAGAAGTGTGCCCCATGGCTGGAATAACCTTCAACGAAATAGAGATAAAAATAATTAATAACCATAATAAATAATAAGTAATAAAGAATATTATTCAATAATAATAATAATAATAATAATAATAATCAATGAAATCAGAGTGAATAGAAATAAAAAACCTTGTGAAGACATCGAATTCAAAATTGGAAATATAATCATTAACAGTTAAATCAATTGTTGTTCTCAGCGCTAATGTTTCCAAACCCGTATTCAGTTTATGTACTTTATTTAACGCCGATCGGAACTCCAGCCAATGCACTGTAGTTCTGTAATTCATTCAACATAATTAAAACAATAATGAATCATCAGTATTCAAGGTGAAATACGATACTTACTTGCTGCCGAAAGACTCTTTCCAAAAAGCATCAGCTTCTTTCTTTGTGATCCTAAAATTATCACCAACAAATTGACCGTCCGGGAATTCAGCCTTCAGTTCAGCAAGCATATGAGAAAATATCAGTGATAGTTTGGTGAGAGTTCGACGGGACGGTGAACGCTCATCAAATATACGATCACGATCCTCTTTGAATAGCTTTAGAGTCTAGAATTGCATTTATTGATTAAGAGGAGGTATGACAGTGAATACACAAAATGAACAGAAACTGACCTGCTTGCACTTATTTTGAACGTTCTCGAGGAACAAGTTCAAATAAAGATTCTCTCTCAAGCAGTTGGGATCATTCGAGAAGATCTGCGTTAACTGATGATACGTATCCGGTAGAATGTCGAGAATGAAAGGTGGCGAATTCTTCAGATTGAGTCTCGGCTGCTGACATTGTTTTACCACATGGTCCATTAATTTGTAAGTCTTTTCGATCACTCGACGATCCTTTTAATTCAACCGGATATCAATAATCATTAATAAATGATTGGGTTTCAACTGGCCCTTATTTTGGCTACTATTAATATCACTACCAAAGTAGAATCGAATTCCGTACTATTCATTTGATTCTGCTGGTAAAACCCGATTGTTTCGACCGAGTTGTTTTAACGAAGAAATGACCAGCAGAATTACCATATTCATGATCTCATGGTGGATCACTCAGAAACGAAAAAAATCAGTGCAGTGATGCAGTCACCAACCTGCGGCTGGATAACGCTTGAAGGACCCGCAACCGCTTGATCTCCTCTGATACCGCCAGCGTGTACATGAAATGTTGTGGTGCTGCTACCACTGACAATGCCTTGAAGTTTGCTGAGCAAAGATGAAGCGAAACCACTCATTAAAATTATTACACCACAGCTATGACCTCGCCTGATACCTGAAATAAAGCAATATGTACAAATCACCCCTTTCATTTGTCGCAAATCATGTTATGCATTCTTCATAAAACAATACAATACGTCTCATATTTATCACAATCAACTGCGATTTTTTCTACGCAATATTATATATAATCAGTGGCGTACGCAGGGGGATGGGAGATTAATCCCGCTCTCTGAAATCCGAAACACTGTCATCAGAATACCTTAACATCATTCTTATTTCTATTGGTATCCAGTTCACTAAAATCCAATATCCCTCCTCCTCAAGAATACTTTCTGCTTACTCCAATGCGTATAAACTAATCTAAACACGTTTTCCTCCCTCTGAAGTACTTACGATTTCAACTGAAAGCATAGGTCTCATACAAAGCCAAATACGGAAAGGATTATTAACTCTTTATAGGCAACTATAGAGTAACTATAGATAAATTTTGGCTGAAGACAAAGCATTTGTTTGAAAAATGGAACTATGAATATAAATAGATGGATAGTTGATTTCGTTTTGATGATGGAAATTATCTTCGAAATTTGCAGCGACGTAGGATCAATATTCTTTAAACAGAATTTTCGCACCAATAGTGAATCGAGCAAAAAGAAAACCCGTTCCGGGATTAAGAATTGAACGAGTGTTGCTAATAGGTATAATTCAAGTGCTGTTTGCAAACAACACCAACACGTCAATTACTGACACAAAAATATGAAACCGATAATGACGACGCATGAACGAACAAATAAATCGGGAATCACACTGAAGAAACCAACAAACATCGACTGCTTCATCCATTAGAAGAATCATAAATAAACAAGAGCTCAATGTTAAAATAAAGAAATTCGTGTTCGCTTGCTTTCATTTGAAGCAATCGCCGCAGATGTGTGCATGATACAAGTGCCATAAATACATTTGTTGTTGTTTAAATGATGATAAATGTTGCTCGTTTATCAATTGAAAATATCAGTGGCAGAATCAGAAGAAGATGAAAAAAATAAAATGAATATTCCACAAAATAGAATGTTTTTACGATGTACACTGAGTGGTGGCTATATTGCGCCATTTATACAAAGAGAAGCAGCTAAAACTGTAATATAAACGAAATGATTATGATTCATAAGCAAACTTTACACTTCCTTTTCGTCTTCTTCCACTTCAACCGCCAATTTTACCCAATATCGATACGTAAAACGCAAAAAAAACCCCGACGACATCCTAAAAAATGACCGAAAAACGGTCAACTTGAGCAGCAATCTACGTCCATTTATCGGTCTTGTCTTCTCCGTTGAAACGCCACAACTGATCATTTCTGTCCAACGAATTTCATTCACCGATCATTACTAATGCACATTTATCCAAATGATGAAACATGTGTTGCGCATAATTACTGCTGCTAAAAGAGGCCTTCTAATATGCACTTTGTAGGAAAGTTCCAAAAAACTGTTTCAGCAATTAACGCCTAAGGTCTAACGTTAACAAACAATCTAGGGTTAATTCGCGTGTTAACGTTTTATCTTATTTTTACCCGAGTAGGCATATTTATTGATCGTACTGTTGATCTTCAATTCTGTTAATATTCATTCTTTTCATTACAACTTGTTGTTAAGTTGACTGACGACCATGATTTTTAATTCTGCGATGCGCATTTAATGAAATGAACTGACATGCCTGTGAAATATTGTGCTAAAATTTTTTAATTAATAATTTTTGATATGATATCTTTGAAAAACGGTACTTGTGCAGCTTAGGGGCTGTGTAGTGCAAAGACTTGCAAGCGCAGCAAAATGAAAGTAAATAAAGCGACATAAAATCAGATAGAGGAAACTTAATCAAATAAAACGATTAATTCATGCGAGACGCAGCAATAATGCCAATCCTTAAAAGCATGAAGGTTTGTACATCACACTGCCTCTAAACTGCATTATGTACTACTCAAGGAATCATCTCTGCTGAATTCAGCTTTGAATTGATACAAACTTCCACAAAATTGAGATTTATTAAATTCTAATGCATATTGTGCGAGTAGTCATTATTTTACGGATTTTCATCGTTGTTTTAACTTCTGTATACTAATGTCGACTGTTTACTATACGTATAAGATTCACGGAAGACGTAAAAGTGAATTTTTTTGGTCATTTTCACGTGAGCGATATTAACCTTTCTATAGGCTCGGCCAGTCATAACGGTGCGTGGCAACAGGAAAGGGGCATGGAAAGACGAGATGAAATTGTTGCTTTTAATGATTATCTTCAAAATTCTGATTTCCTCGATGTGATAAAATGTTACTGTCTTCAGTATTAAACTAACTCAAATCAATGTCTTACCATCGTCATATTAAAGCATCTAATTGACTGATGATCGACTGCCACTGTCATTTGGCTGATGAGCAATTTTCAAGCGATATTGAAGAAGTGATTGCTCGTGCTCAAAAAGCTCAAGTTCTAGCAACGTTGGTGTGCTCCGAATACAGTGCACAATTTGAAGATGTCTTCAGATTAGCGCAACGTTTCAAAGGCTTCTGTTTTTCTTGCATCGGAGTTCATCCATTACAGGTTTGTTTTGCTTTTGTTTCGTTACTTTCAAATGTTCTTTGATTTTGCTTTTACTTTTTTTTTTTCAACGATCCATTTGAAATAATTACTTTTCAGATTGAACACTTCGCTCTACTCGAATTGAATTATCTTTCATTTTGACTTTCAGAAAGGCAATGTTTCTGTACAGGTTGAAGATATGGACGGAATGGAGGAGCTAGTTGAACAGAATTTGGATCGAATAGCAGCGATTGGCGAGGTTATTTTGATCTTTCTTAATCGTTTGTCTTCTGACTCTTGATGGTTTGTTTCATGCATCCTCATATTCTTCTCATAGAATTCCAGTCGAAAATTCGTCTATTTCATTCCCTTTCCTTAAAAAAACAGAAATGCAACGTAATTCCGCTAGGTGGGACTGGACTTTACGCCGCGTTTCCTGAAGCTCGCCAACGCTAAAGAGCAACAAATTGCAGTCTTCAAACGACAAATTGCTATTGCCATCAAGCATGACCTTACATTGTAAGTTATTAATTATTTACTGCAAATGCGGTCGCTTCTTCAAGTAAGCGATTTTCTTGAGAGGATATTTCGTCCAATTGATTCTCTCATCCAGTGTTTCTCATAGGCAGTAAATTACCTCCTGAAGATAATTTGGGAGTGTTAGGAAGGTAATTGAGATTATAAAATTAACTTCTTGATAAATTTCAATTTCTTCATCATTGACGAATGTTTCTTTTTTCATTGTTTCTCTTGGTTAACTGCTGACGTTCACATTCTTTGTGCAGTTGACAAATAAAATCCTGAAAATATTAGTTGTATTCCAGAAAATTAATTTCCTTCACGCTATTGAGGGGTTTCTGGAACGGTTTTCGACTTACTGATCTTATGTGTGAAAATAGTAAGTTATTATAGCGATGAAGAGGGAGGGGTCATGACGGCCCATCAGAACATCGAAGGGGTAATGGAGTTTTAAGCGTCAGAAACAATGCTCTAATCTATGGTGCATGAGATAAATTGTGTTTCGTTGCAGAAGTGTGCATAGCCGTTCGGCTGGTCGTCCTGCAATCGAAATATTGCGTGAATGTGGTGCAAGACGGGTTTTAATGCATGCCTTCGACGGAAATGATAAAAGTGCACAGCCAGCCATTGACTGCGGATATTTCTTCTCAATACCACCGTCTTTCACGCACTCTGAACGTGTGAGTCGTTGATCTTCATAATCAAATTGTTTGTAAATTTATATGTTTGTAATCAATCCATCATGATGCTTTTTTTAACGGTTTCTATTGCTGCGTGTATTCAATGTCTCGTTTTTTTTGTTTTTTTTTTTTTTTTTTGTTTTGAGGAAAACAACTTCATCTCAACTGGAATGTTTCTTAAATAAGTGAATTAAGCTTGTTACTTTTCATCGTGATTATTGTTGTTTCAGATGTTGTCATCATGTCTGAAATAATGATGAAAAAAGTAATAAATTCATCACTGAAGTCAACGATATTCCAGTGGATGAGCTCATCAAAGTGATTTGCGAGAAATGAACGAATACTTATTTTCAGAAAATTGATTTAATTAAACGAATTCCTTTGACGCAGTTGTGTCTTGAAACTGATTCACCCGTACTGGGACCGTCCAAATCGGAACGTAACGAACCATCAAATATTCACATAAGTGCTGAATTGATCGCTAACATCAAGGGTATTCCAGTGGATGAGCTCATCAAAATCACAAACGAAAATGCAGTTCGATTATTTCCAGTTCTCAAATGCTTGTTGCGATAATTTTCTCAATTTCCAACGTGACTATATCCTTGAATGTGTTGCTGTGCCAAGTAATTCACTCGATTTACGCTTATCGTACGATATCCATTCAATAAATTGTTTTACTGGTGTCATCTATTTTAATCTCGCAATGGTCAATTCTTTTAAATATATCTGAAACAAAGTGCAAAAAATCAAAAACTTATTGCAATTTGTAGCAGCAAGTAGGAATTTTTCACCCGTGAAATTCGATTCGAGCATTCCACAGCATTTGCAGCCTAGTTACTGTGTGATGTTTTTGCACTCAGGAGACTCTTCTACACATCTCAGTGCCCGAAAATTGCTCATAGAACAACCACCGAAGAACACCGCGTAGCATGGTTCAGTTTCAGTGCATATATCTCACAAATGTTCAGTATATTTGCAATACTATCACCCTTAAGTTGAGTGTTTGAATTGCTAAACAATTAATTATGAAGTGTATCTGTCGTTAAAGTGAATAAACTAGTTCACAAACACTAGGATATACACTAAGTTATATTTCGAATACCATTCATGGAGTCTCGTGACTATGTGTGTGTGAAGAAGGAAGGATTTTTTTGTTTATTTGATGCTTATCGCAGCTATAGAAGAGGCAGCAGCTCAATTCAGAGCGAGGGAGAAGCGATATGGTGGAGGTGTTGTGTGACTGAAACACTTGGATGCATCATCATTTCGTTCGTAGAGAATGTAAGAGAGCGATTTATTTATGGCGTTTTACAGTGAGCGTAAGCATGAATCATCAACGAACGCTGCTGTATTTATAATGTCGGCTGGCTCAGACGTTTGTTCTGCGCTTGAATTGGCTCGGTGCTGGTTGTGTTTCTTTTTAAACGCATGAAGAGTAAACGTCATCGAAGAGATACAAACAACTTCGACGCATTTATTTACTCATTTAGTTTATTTCTTTCAGGTGCTTCTTATCCAATTCTTGCTCACATTAAAAGTAGATATGCGCGCTTTAAGACTGAACATTAATTGAATGAATGTTGTTTGGTGGAACGAAGAGAAGAATTTATAATCATTCATTATTCATTTCATGCTCAGGCACGTTCGTTGTTTCGAAATTATCCAATGTTGGATCATTATGCTGCAAACGAATAGCTAGCTCCGTCAATTGATGCATCTTTATTGTTATCACCACTCATTCGATTGTTGTTGCAGTCGCTACACTTTTTTTATGGTGATCTTAGTGGCTGCATAAAATTTGCTGTACCCATGAAGCAACACAACTCTTATTAGGTCGCATATTCTCAGCTGACGATTGACTGACTGATCGTAATTCTCATCTTGCAGATGGCTATGAAACAACAAACATTGAATGTGGAATCGTTGTTGAATGATGCAACAATCAGCATACCATCTGTTGATCATCACACCGCCACAAATTCGTTACGATCTACTGAATCGTTGCCTTCTTGGACTTCACTGTCACCAGATGCAGCACCACCCAGAGCTATAACATCATCACTATCTCTACCGTCTTCCTTCCCTTCTTCTTCTGTCTCATCTTGTAGTCCTGGTCCCTCCCCTTCATTTCCTGCTAAACTCTCAAAAAGTAATAAATTTCAAAATAATGATTCCTCACTATCAGCACACCAGAAAACCACAACGATTAATGCAAGAACTTCGAATTGCGTTTCAAATACTTCTACTTCGCTAGACAATCAAACTGATCACACAAAACCGAATGAACTGCATGTTGATCAGCGACATAATCCGCTTGCTGCTTTGCAAATGGACATTCATCAAGATAATGATAGAAGTGTGAATCTGAATATTGCGATGTCAGTCGGTCGACAAGGAACCCTCTCATCTTGCAGTCTATCAGACACTCCCTACCATTCACCCTTATCTCCTTCTACATCATCCTACTCCAGTAACGATAGCAATAAAAAGCGTTTCGGTGGTAAGCTGAGTGAGACCACTGGTGATGATAATAATGAAAGTAGTAGTAGCAGTGAGAGTGGAACGATTGTGATGAATGATAAGTTAAACGTTGATGAAGACGAAGAAGAGTCTAGAACGCCACCTCCATCTCCGAGCACATCAAAAACTTCTCAGAGGCCAAGGTTTATTTTCGTTGATCGTATGAATATGTGCGAAGAATTCATTAATTACACAGTGGTTGATTGTATTTATTTTCGTGCGTTAACCAAATAAAATTGCAGTTTATTTTCATTAGCACAAGTCTCACATAAACTAGGTGAGCTCTGGTCAAGTGCGCGTGAGCGTGTTTTCGGTGAAGATTATTGGATTCCGTCGGATGTTTATGAGGTGTGAATATTTTCGTTTGTTCATTCGAAAATAATGTGTTACTTTATTTTTTTCAGTGTTATTTCGGATATCAGTTGCATTATTTTCGAATGAATAGTATTGAGTGAAGTAAAGAGTAAAATTTTGCAGGTTGTTCTATTCCCAAGTGAATTATTGCCAGCGCACAATTTTGTATTTCCTGTGAATGGAAAGAAAAGAGGTTTGAGTGTAGTACAAGGCACTCTTAAAAATCAGCCTGCATCACCATTATTTCATGTTATCTTTACGAATACAGTCACCAATAATAACAATGATAATGAAGATTCAACAAAAGTAACATTGAGCATATTTCGTTCACATGATATTCAAGAAGCAGTTGATTTGTATAATCGATGCTGTGATTGTGAAACACTTTTCATGTTACTTGGTCAGTTTTATTGGCAAGTTTTTGTTTATATCTACTCAGTGATTATTTAATGATAATGGTGTGTGCTTGAGATATTGGTAAAGACAATCGTAAACTGGTACGTGAGTTGGTAAATGCATTACGAACACATCCACTGTGGTTGATTGTACCGATAGCAATAGCAACCAATCGACTGGATTTTTTTATGCAAGAAACTATTTGTGGAGCAGAAGAGAATGTAACGAGGACAAGCAAGATAACTGGCAGCAATAATGATTATTTTAATATGTGTGTAATTATATTGTTGCTTGATTGTATGCCTATGAATAATCACTCATTACATGACTATTTAAGAATGTTGCACGTGGCAGCGCAACCGGAAGGATGTTATCCGTTGATGTTAGCCATCGAAATGCATCGTAGTGAAATCGTACGACGATTGTTCGAGTTGGGTGTGGATCCTTCGATTTGCGATATCAACGGCAATAATGCTATGCATTATGCGGCACTTGCTTCTGTCCACATGCTCGATGTATTAGTTATTACTGCTTAGTTATTCTCGAAGTGTCATCCTCATAAATGATTGAATCAATGTGAAAATGAATGCTTGTAATAGTAACCGAATAATCGTCGATAATTTAAGTTATTGTGGGAATTTGAAACAACACATAATCTGTTGAACACGGTTAATCATGATGGTTACACACCAATTTTATTGGCAATCCGTAATGCGAATCCAAGATGTGTGTCGTCTCTTATCTCGCGAGGGGCTGAAGTTAACATTTTGGTCGCTGGTCGATCACCTCTCTTTGAAGCTATGCAAAGTAAAGGCAAATCCATAGAGTGAGTTAGATTTTGCCATCCTTATCTACCTGGTTAGTTCAATTACTTCGTTTTCAGAGTGATTCGCACTCTACTGGAAGCGTCGCCGAATCTCTTACATGAAAAAGATCGTACCACTGGAAATACGGTTCTGCATGCAGCGCAATTCAAGACACCTTTGATGGGTTTACTATCGTTGAAACACAAGGAATTGAATTTGAATGCACTTAATAATGCTGGTCAAGCACCGATTCATTTGTATGTTAATAAGGGCGATATTGGTTCGTTCCATTTTTTATTCTTATTATCGCTATCATTAGTTCGTAGTAAAAAGGACTACTAATATTATGATAAATTTGAGGTCTTGTGATGACATTATCATCATATAATTGTGATTTGAATATTGCTGATCGAAGTGGTGATACGGCGCTACATTTGGCTGTTTCAAGGAAGGATCTTCAAATGACTCGTCTTCTACTTTGTCTTGGTGCAAATCCAAATGTGAAGAATAAACATGGTGATACGCCGAGGCATCTAGCTGCTAAATTACAACAGTTTGTTCTGCTCTTTTCTCTGTCTATAATGATATGTTTGATTGAGGAAAAACAAGAATGATTACAGATGGGATTTATTGAAAAGCCTTGCGATTTGCGGTGCGCTTCGTTGTGATATAACCACGAAAAGCGGATGTGTTTCTGGATGTGTGAATATGAAGAGATTGGACGAGATTAAAGATGCGTCCTGGTGGGGTATCGAGTGTGCGGATGCGTATACCAATTTGAATGTGCTCCATTCAAGCAGTACTACTAGTCGGTCGGCCAGTTCAACGTTCATTACTGATCTCGAACATTGTGAACAGTCAAACTCAACGAATCTCATTCGAGATTTTAAACAAAAGGTTCATTATTTATTTCAATTAGAATTTATTTATTTCAGCTCGGTTATTCAATTTCAATTTATTTATTTAGTACTGCTATGATGAAATGTTGAAAAAGTTAGAAGCAATGACGAAGGCAAAACAGACACCAAACCTTGTCAATTTGTTATCATTGGATGGTGGTGGTATAAGGGGTTTGGTTATCATTCAGGTACATTTCATTCATTTTTTCATTTAATCTGTTTATGTTATAGCGGTGATTGTTAGGGTTGTTGATGTCATATTTACTTATTGTATCTCGATCTCCATTATCACTTCAATAGTATCTGATTATGAAATTATGATTGTCACAAGTACCTGATATTATTATTGTCACATCATTGCATTTGTTTTTTTTTTTCATCTTTTTTCATATTGTTGTGAAAATTTATAGATGTTGATAGACTTAGAAAAAGTAATGGGTGAACCAATATTTCCATATTTTGATATGGTCGCTGGTACGTCCACTGGAGGTATCATTGTGGCAGGACTTGCACAAGGTTTCTATTCTCATTTATCGTTTTATTTCTGTGCATTGATCGGTTGTCTAATTTTTATCATTCGTTATATACCTATACTTGTATTATTCTAAAAGTTATATAGTATAAATAGAGTGGGTGTGATGAGAGGGCGTGGAGGCGAGGACATACCTCATGTCAATGCTGTTCAAATTTCGTGTTAATATTTTAAAAATAATTCCGGTTGCGTTCCATTCTTAAATAAACTATTGTTGTAGAGGGTGCGAGGGCATCTTAAAATTTTCGGGGGGGGGATGAGGGGCAAAAAAGTTGATAACCATTGGTTTAGGGTGTTCATATTACTTAGAAGATAAGATAATATTTCAAATTATTTATAACTATCATGCGCAAATTGTTTATTTGTCAGTGTGTGTGTGGTGCACTGTGGCTTTGCGTGATAGTGGTGAAAAATCTGGAATGTCACCTTTTTTTAGTGAATTGATGCCATGTAATCTTGTAGTGAAGGTGTTTATGAAAGGGGGACAGTGCCAAAAGTTACTCTGGATGAGCGTCAGACTCGTCAAACTTCAGTGTGAACTGAGGATGGATATCAGCATCAGGGTTAGTCTCAGACTAAGACCCGTGGTGAGCCTCAGTTGAAGGCAGCGGTAAGCCTCAGCTTGAAAGTGGTGTAGTATGCGATCTGACCTCTTCTCATAAACACATTAATTGCAAGATTTCATGAGCATGTCTCAAACAATCTTTTGACACTAAATACTATTCATTCCAGACGTTTCAAACAAACAGTACTGAATGAACGTACACCAGTACTTGACTAATACTCAGTGCCGAATAATTACATTTGATATGAGTGCAATTAGAACATGACAGGAGCAGTTAGTAGCTGCGGAATATTATCCATTTTATGCAGCAACGACTGAGATTCATACCGTATGATGAGAGTGTAAGATTGTGCTGACTGTTAGGCAAGGATTAATCACCTTTTGTTATTGTGATCATGAATGATCGTGTTATTTATGGATGATTGAAGGTAGGACCTTACGTGAATGCCAGCAAGTCTATTTGCGATTAAAAGATATCATATTCGATGGGTGGACGAGACCGTATAATTCATCATTACTGGAAGGGTTTATGCAAAAAGAAGTTGGTGCAGATACGACACTTGATGATATTCAGTGGCCGAGGTTCGATTTGTGAAATTAATTATGATGATAATAATGGAAATGACACTTTGAATAGATGATAAATTTAGAATGATGTTCACAACGGTACGTGCTGATTGCTTTCCAGTTAAATTGGAATTGATGCGTAATTATCGATTGCCGATCTCAATTGAAATGAACGATCAGTTGGGATATAGTGATCCAAAGGGTGAGTTAATCGTCAGCTCTTGTGACAAAGAGAGTGTTATTGTCGATTAGTTGATTGGTTCATTTGTAGATTTTCGCTTTCATTATTAGTGTTTTTGAAGTGATATGCTGCTTTCATTTGAAATGTTTTTGTTTTGAAAGTGAATGATTAAATTAGTAATGAAACATTTCAGAAACACTCTTATGGAAAGCATTGCGTCGTACAACAGCTGCACCGACCTACTTCAGTTCGGTCGATAATAAATACATCGATGGTGGTATCATATCGAATAATCCAACGTTGGATTTGATCTCGGATCTTGTCTTTTGGAATTCCACAAAGCATTATCTGGTTGGTAGCTTTCTTCGTTTGTGGTATTCATAAAAGTCATTGTTTGTTGTTGTTGCAGAGCAATTCAAACGATGATCCAATTGAAGTGGGATGTGTGCTGAGTGTTGGTACTGGAGCAATACCAACCATTTCTATGGAAACGGCTAATTTGGAAATTTCATCGAATCCGTATTCATCAGCTGTTGCAATCAAAAATCTTGGTGTTATACTTGTTGATCAAGTATGTTGTTTATTATTAGTATAGTGATGGTGGTATATAAGAATAAAATCGAATTGAGGTGACCGCAACTGAAGGTGCTCCAGTGGATCGTGCCCGCTCGTGGTGTCATTCTCATTCAGTGCCATACTTTCGTTTATCAGCACCGTTGTTCAAAGACATAGCAATGGACACCAGAGATGATTGTGACCTGGCCAGAATGATGTGGGATTGCGTCGAATACTCCAAACAAATGCATTCTGAATTGCAGAAAATTGCTGGTCTTTTGAAAAAGGTTGATTATTTTCATTGATTTTGTCGGTTGTTATTATTGTTATTGCCATTATTATTGGTATCGTATTCCAAGTACTAGGAAATTGTTTTATTCATTGGTTTTCTTTCAAATATTGATCTATCAGTTGGTCATTTTGCTCACCGATTAATTATTATGTTTGAATTATAGTTAGGCTATGCATGGCGCAGGAGACATTTATTCACATCAAATAAGTCTGGGAATGATGCGCAAACTCAGACGTCGGCTCCATCAACACCGTGATGATATTAATATGTTTCATCGAGCTTTTCCTCTCTTATCGACAATTTTCATATGCATCTGTTCATAGTGCGTTTGTTCATCTGTTCATTTTAAATGAGTTTTGCTTTTTTGAAGGCGAGTGAATTTTTTACAAGGCATCACTTCGTTTCTAATTGCAATTTCAGGTATTTTACATAATGCCTTCGTCAGTCAATTTGTTGTTCAGCTTTATTTCGCTTTTTATCATCATTCGCACCGAAACAATCTCATAGCTGTTTTTTTTTTCTTTTTGTAAATAATAACTTGTGTTTAATCAGTTTATTGATCGATTGACGATTGGCTGTTTGATCAAGCATTTGTATAATCTTTGAACTGGTGACTTGTAACATACATACGTATTTGTGTTGCTGTTGGTGATGGTGTTTGTGATTGTTGTATTTTATCGATCGTATCTCAAATATTTCATATCCCAAATTTTCGTTATTTATTTATATGTTTTTTCGTAATATATGATTAAATGTGAATGCCTACTTCCGGAAGCACATTTTTAATAACGGTTCAAGTTTCGGTGTGATCTTTTCTCAAGAATTTTTTGAATGGATGACAGTTCTTTTCTTGTTTCGTGGATAATTAAACTTCTCTAAATGCCTATTTGTATTGTGTTGTTTTTTGATTGTTGCAGTTTCACTATTCGATTCTTCAGATTGCAAAACAACTTGTATATTACGTTGTTACGTTGTTTTTAGCATTATCATTCAATCATCATATCGTTCAGTGAATATCGTCTGCACTTTTATTCGCGTTAATGCCATTGTTTTAATCATTATAGCTTAAATTCTTTTCGCGAATAGTTTGTAATCGAGTTTGTTCTTCGTTTCTGTATCATTTTCAAATTCGAATGGTCCTTCAAAACTGCTGAACATTCCTTCATTGGTTATCATCGTTGAACTGTTTCTTCTCAGAATTAGAAATGTGATTGATTCTAGTAGTATCATTCCGACAGCTTTATGCTTTATTACTATGTTTATATAGAGCTGATATGATGATTACTACCATAATTTGTTTAATTTTTTTCAAAGTGCTGAAATGCCATTACGAATTTTTTGATGTTATCCATTTTGTAAATTGTAATTAACTGTTAACTGTGAATGATCACCATCATTATGCAAAAATCGATTAATGAATGAATAAAGCCGTTTATTATTGTTTTTGTTATTTCAATTGTCATTCTCATTCAATAATTTCGCAAAATGCTTTGTTTGGCTATAATTAGCGAATTGAAGAATGGGAATATGAGTTTTTATTGATTATCTGCTGACAGCTATTGACCGAGAATGAAAACGGTTTCATGTAAAGTCATTTTCATGAAGCCGAAAGATGACTTTAGTTGTTGCTGCATCTGCTCGTTTATGCACTTTCCTTTGGCTACCTGCTCGCCTTTGAGGTAACCTCTAATGGGCATTCACCTCAATTCATCACAGGCATAGAATGATATCCCTAAAGTTGTGAGGAAGCATAAGTGTAGACCTATCGGTAAACTGAGGTCTAAATTTCTAAGTTTACACCGAGCAGCTAATTTAAGCGAAACGGCGTAGAATCCAGGCAGGTAAAGAGGGCAGCTTTTAGAGATTGTCGTTTTTTATACGGACTGCTGGCGTCACCGTTTAAGGAGTGCTGAGAGTGAAAGAATTGATTATGGTTGCGACCGTAATTGCGACGTAATAATAAGATGTGAACATTTATTCTGTTACGCCTCACCTTATTCAACCCTGCTGATCACATCGTCCAAATTTGGGTAATATTGGTTAAAGTCTGAGTATGTGTGGTGGTGCGATGCACCAACTACACTGTGCACTCTCAACGAGCGATTTTTCGAAGATTCACCTCGCAATCTTATTGCTACTGCTGTGATTACAACAACCCGTCAAGTTCACATGAGACATGCACTTGGTCTTTGGTATTTTTTGGTCTGACTTAGTTCGGATTTTGATTCAGGCGAATGAGGGTTTATCGGAAACATTTCAGGCGAGTACTTTGAATGAGTTCAAGGGTAGGTTGCGTGTTAGTGATGATCATTACGATAATCCTGTAGTCACCGATCCAGCAGGTCATATGGTTATAGTCGCAGATATTCGGGGTAGCTTCGGCTCAGAGGTAGATCTGAGCCTGACTTAGAGTTGAGCTTAATCAAAAAATGGTTGCCAAAATTTCAATTGTGCGAAATAGGCTTCTTCGAGGGTTTTCTCTTTCGTAACGTGACTGTCAGAAAGCAGTTCTTGCAACGGCGGACTCTTGGATAGTTGCGTTTAAGCTTAAGTAAAACGAGAAAAGCGCTAAACTCACGCACACAAGGTGTTTTCTGATTGCTGCTTTAACTACAGATTACGGATCATTACTATCAATATATTCATCGGGATTATCAATCAAGCCATGGATTTATGTATTTCAAGAATTGTCCGCAATTTTATATTATTATATCTAATTAATATTATCATTATTATGGATATTTGTCATGCTGATGAGTTTTCATTCACTGTCATCATCCCTCCAGGTAAAACCGAATGTTACAGTCATCCTATTGATAAACCGAAATACGCATTCTTCGAGTTAGATTATCAAGTAAGTTGAAGTATTCATCCGATCAATTTAGTGTGGTAATCAGTGGCATGCGCATGGAGGGTGGTAAATCCACCTCCTTGAGATCCGCAAAATGAAAGCTTTCGTTGATGCTTGCGGGCTTTTTAACCGCTACCTTTGTTCGAGTGAAATTGTTTACTGTTTCGTATTTCAACGAAAAGAATATTTTCTGCGTACGCCACCGTTAGATATGAGAATAATAATTTTTTGGGATATTACTAAAACATCAAAAATAGCAGTGATATGTTGTTTATTCAGTTAAAGTGCTGTAATTGTAGGTTATTGGTGGTGGTGATTCTGATATAACCTTTTATGTTCTATCACCGAAAGGAAGTCGGATTTTGATTGATGTTAGAAGTAATGACGCTATGCATCGGTAAGTCGATTTTTATTAATAAGATATGATTTCTTCACAGATATCAGTAATATTAATAGTATAATGAAATTTTAGTGTGGAATTAAAAGAACCTCAAAATGGATATGGTGATTATACGTTTTGTTTCGATAATACGTTCAGTATTCAATCTGAGAAACGTGTTTTCTTTGAATTCTTTTTGATGGATGAATCTGGACAATTTTTGGGTGGATTTGATGAGAAATTCAGCGTTGCTGATGAGGTATTGCGTACGCTTGATACACGTTTGGAGCATTTTCAGGTAAATTTTGTATTAATTACTGGCTTTTTCTATTGTTGTTGTTATTTCAGTATTATTGTTTACTATTATTATTTGTTATTATTACTAATATTGTTATTATTATCAGATAAATAATAGTTACTGTTGTTATTGACAATAATTTTAGAATGTCACAGTAAGCGTGAAAGATAATTTAAATAAAGTGGAGCGTATTCAAAGGCAGTACGCAAGTCTGGAATTATCAGACCGCAAAGCTTTAGAAACGAGTTTTGAAATGATAAATTTTTGGAGTATGGTTCATTTATCAGTCATGGTGGTTGCACTTCTTGTACAGGTTCGTTTAATCACTGTTGTGCAACGGGGCTTTAGTCTGTGCTGGAGAAGAAGAGTGATTTAAATGATTTTAGAGTAAAATTAGTTGTTGGTCATTCAAATGAATTGTTCTCTGACTTTGACGTAGCTATTTCATTTCAGGTCTATATGGTACGTTGTTTGTTTGAAGACGAGTCAAAAATGGGACGTTTCTTGAGAAAGGGACGTTTGAATGATTAATCGTTATTTTTTTCTGTTATTTTGACTGCCATTATTTGTTATTTCTTGCCTTATAAGGATATGTTCTGTTTATTATTTTGAAATGCACCAGTGGTAGTGTTTATGACTGCGTTAATATTCGCCACTAACGGTCGATTAGCAGTGATAATGAGTAATTTGTGATGCGTTTGTGATCATTTGACTTTTATTTTATTTCATTCGTCTTAAAGTGCCTCGACATCAGGTTTTATGTGTGTATTATAGGTGTATTTTCAGCAAATAATAAATTCTGGTTTATTTATTAATGTTTTAGTGATTATTTTGCATTGTGTATTGGATTATATGCGTTCATCTATTGATTTCGTGCATGTTTGAATGTCTAAGTTAATCCTATCAGTGACTTTCATTTTGACATACACCCAATTTGGAATGCAATAAAGTTTTTGTTCGGACCGTTCGATGGTTTGTTCAGTTAAACTGCTTGAAAAATTTTATGAAAGAAGTGAATCCTTATACCAGAGAGAGGGTCAAACATAAGCTGTATATGTTAGGATAACCTGTAAGCTTTGTACGAGTGTAACAATACATATGGTTATATTTTAGCCCTTTATAAGCCAGTGAGTATTCGCCTGAGACTGGGAAGAGCCAAGTACAAGTCGAAGAATAAATGTGGGTTCACTACTATAGCACCTACAGCTTTCACTAGTGAACATTTGTTTCTGAATGTAACAGTTACAGAATTTTTTGTTTATAATTTCAAACTTTAAATACATTGAGCATCAAAAAGAAAAACTTGTTCGTAGCAAAAAAAAAAATTACGATGCCGGCCGGCAATATAGTGACAAGAAAAAGAATGGGCGAGCATTACCAAAAAGTGGATAATAGCATGCAAATGAGTATTAGAGATGAAAAAGTTTAGAAGGAGATTAGGCAGTGTGATTATTCATTATCGTTTGATTGCATCATCAGTATTCTAAGCATCATTCCCTGAGTGATTTTATCGTTCGTTGAATACAACAAACGTAACGTATAATTACTGTTTCTAATAATACCCTTTAACCTTGTTCTTTGCTGATATACACATATATAGACAAGCTAGGTCATATTCATCAGTTTATTGTTGACTCGTTGATGAGCGCTTGATCGGTTTCTTTTATTGTTGCGTTGAATAGAACAACTGAGATGAAGTGTACTGCTTTCATTATCATTGCACTGTTTTCTTTTATCGTCGCTTCTCATCCAACCGTTCAAAATACAGTCAGTCAGCGATCGAAACCTTTGGAATTGGTCAGCGATTAATTTGTTTTTCATTGACATAAACTGCCATTATTAATGTTGTTGTCATCATTAATATACTTTTCAGTTCCCTTGTTTTATTTGTGACGAACAGCAACGCTATGAATTGAACGAAGATGAGAATGGTAACGAAAAAGTCGGTGATTTGATAGATCGAGATCGAAGAGAGGTGAATCGTTTTGTGTGTATAGTATATTATTTCTTGTACAGTTCAGTAACTCGTTAAAATTCAGGGTTTCATTGCTGTTGAAGAAATGGATGAGCATTTGAAGGAAATTGCTGCGAATGTTTGGGAAAAGCCACAGACAGATATTCACGCACTCAAGTTGGACATTGAAGAGGTATCTATTATCGAGATTTTGTGAATAAAGATATGAAATGATTCATATCTAAATGAATAATACACATTTGCAGTTGTACGATCATATACAAAACTTCACAATAACCGTCGATGAAGCAGAAAGTGCTTTAAGAGAGTTGAAATTGCGTTATGATGGTGTGACAAGTGAACGCGAACAAAATGAACATAACGCATTAAAATACTGGATTGAATTACCGTCGATTAGATATCGTTTATTGAAGTTCGAAGAACGTTTGATGGGCTTCGATAGGAATGATTTATCGACGGATGACATCAAAACTGATCATCAATTATATGGAAGAAATCAAATGGAAATTATAAAAATCGACAATATGCGAGCGTTCATAAATGATTTGGCGATTCAGTTGAAAGCAGTTTATGAGTATTACTTCATTAGTGACGACGACCTTCTAAACGCTGGTATAGTTATTTCGCAAACAGAGAACAATCTAACGAAACGAAGGGATTTATTGCCTACACAAAAACCGAAAAATCGGTGCATTTGGTTCTTCTGCTTCTGATTTGTTTCTTTTCATTACAACTCGCATAGTTATTCGACCAATACCACTGTTATTACTATCATCACCATTTCTTGCTGCCGATGTGCGTAAATTGTCTCATTCTGCAAAGATATTATTGTTGAATATATGTCTGTGTATATCGTCACTTGAAAACTCATTAATATGATACGACAATTAAATGATTGAAGTGAATGAATCGCTTTTGTAAAAAATTATAAACAAAAGTCTGTTATTATTATCATCAACAATGAAACTTGAGATGCTCATCGTCGACGTATAAATATTAATAACAAGCAATAATCTCTTGTCAATACTTTCACTGTATCCAGTGTATTAGTCGGTGTCTGGTGTATGCATCTGCTTTAATGCTATCCATCAATTCTTATCACTACTGTATCTGATACTTCGTCTTTATTATGCACGTTTCTTTATTTGCTATCAATCGTTATCTATTGTTCTGCTCATTATTATTATGCGTTTTCACAACGAATGATTTTATTGTTCATGATCGCACCCCATATGGTATGTTATATTCATATGATTGTTTCATGATATCACTTTCATCCAGTTATTTTTAAGACAATACATACTTTTTGGTAATATATTTTCGTGTTCTTTTATACCAATACTTTATTCACACGTTATAAATAATTTCCAATAATATACTGAGTGCACATTAAAAACCGCATTTATTCGAACAATTCTTCATTCGCCATAGTAGATCTTTCTGTTCTAAATGGATTGCCCTCTCTGGTAAATCACATCTGTCCTTTAAAAATGGTCAAAGAACTATGAATGTTAATGAATGCAAAAATTATAGGCAGATCAGTGAATGTAACAAATCGTTTATTAAATACAACTCGTTCAGAATTGATTTTATTATTCATCGGTGATCCACAGTTTAATTTTGAGTGCGTTCCGTCAAATATTCATTGCAAGCAGAAAAGCGCAGAGATACGTAACAAGCATGGATTATCACTGGTTCTTCTTCAATGTTTCTTAATTAAACAACACCGATGAATGATGAGCATAAAAGCTGGAGAATAAAAAAGCGCATAAATATATTCAGATGGAAATGAAAAACTGGTCCCGTCTAATCCAGGCGTTATGCTTATAATCATTTTCTTCGTATTATGTCGAATACGATTAATTTCAAGCAAACGGCTCTCACAACAAAAACTGAATTTTTTGTTGCATTTACAAATTTGTTCGAAATAATTTGTTTCTTATGAAAATAGCAACAGTATTCATTAGAACAGAAGTTAATTTAGGATTGTGGAATGTCGAAAGAAGTCGCAAAATCTCGAAATATTGGTGAATATGAACGTAAAAAAATTATCAAACAATGTTTAGCTGAGGAATCACTTTACGCGAATCGATTATCAACGTAACACTTCATCACTAAAAAGAACATTTATTATCAATTTGCAAGAAATACACCACTCATTAATTAATACACTCTCAACTTTGACTTTAGATTTTTATTGCTCTTTTGCTAGTTACGTATGCATTTATGTGTGCAACAATACAGATCAAAATTTGTTGGTTTGTTCTGAAATGATGTGATATACCAGGGATGTTATGCTGAAATTGATTAAAGCGATGCGCTCGAAGCCATCGGCGTTAGTGATAAACGGCGACCTCACAAGTTATGGTCACATACAGGAACTGGAATTGTTTCAGGTGAATGCTATGAATGTTGGTTGCATGTTATAAAGCAACGAATGGGTGAACTGTGCTTCTGTTGTAATAAATCGCTTGGGAAAAGGCACTGTTTCACTCATCGGGTTCACAACTCCATTAAAGTTTTTCCAAATCCGGAACAGATATTTACAGGCCAAAGCCAGAAAGAAATGGCGCATAAGCCATACCCCACCTACTTTAAGGCATAAGCTAAGGCTCCATCGAAAATTCCATAACCATTATGCATTAAATTCGACGGAATACCATACAACTTATTTGCTTGAAGTTCTAGGAATTGAATTCGAAAGAGATGGTTCACTTGCTTGATCTTTTCCTCTATTTCCATTCACACGCATTAGTCAGTCACTTTGTCCATCAGGTACATGAGGTGGAGAATGTAATAAAATATCGGTGGTGGATACAACAAAAAATGGACAAATTAGCAAATATACTTTGTGTTTACTTTCAAAGTTTGAGGGTGCACAAGGAATCTGAAAAGCTGTGTTGTTAAATAAAAAAGGGACGAATGAAAACATTGTAGTTAAACGTATATTATGTGATCACAGCGTTCTCACGAATCTTTGCAATATTCAATTAGGTACTGCACTGAATAGCAATCGGTCGGGGTGTCGATCAGGTCACGGCAGTAATCATCTAAAAAAGTATCTGAGTTAGTTCGAGATGGTAAATGAACTTTGTGGATTGCATTTGCTGAACACCTTGCCTACGAGATTAATGTGATTTTGATGATTGGTAGACATCCCTGAGCTTGATGCACTAATCAACACTCCATACATTTGGTGCAGTACATGGGCAGGTAGCTGTGTGTTGAAATAATGACAATGAGCATGGGAACAAGACAAAATGCGGTAATGGAAACGAACGTTCTATTTTGTGCAAACAGACAGGGACTCTTTAATCCAAGGTTTCTCAACCTAGTCAATATTAACTTCCGGCGGCTGAAAATGGCATCTGATTGGGTGAATCTGGCGAAAAAATGTCCATAAGTAGGCAAATTTGGATGGCGGTGGGCGATTTTGACTTTCATGGACTAATGTAAGCCAAGTAACGCTCATTAGCATATTGAAAAGTTCGAGTGCTGAATAGAACATAATATTTTTCATAATTTTCAACATAATATTTGGACGACGCAGAGTGCGTCGTCCAAACGCCACGAGCACATTATCGTTGTTTTGGGCTTTTTAAAGCGTATTCAGAGCGTTTACTGCATACAGCGAAACGGAGAAGATGAGATGGGCGATTTGGCCTCACTCGCATCCTGATCTGCGAGTAGCTGAAAATTTTTAAACCTTTAATGAGCAATTTTTGACTTGTGAGCACTTGGCCGAACTGCCTCTAGACTGGCAATCATGTAATGCTTACATGCTTGAAACTAATGTGATTATTTGCAGCGCGAATGGATTCATAAAATACCACTTCGAATATTACCGGGTCTCGGTAATCATGACTATGAAAATAACGTAAATGATTGTGTTAGTAATCATTGTGCAAATCGAATGTTATTTTGGTGCTTAATTTAATTTATTTTAATTCAATACTTTTCACTTCACATTTAATGGTTTTTTGTGTCTCTGATATTATACTTTTGTGCGATCAAATGCTGAAATGGATGCAGAATGCTTAAAGCGCACTCCCACTATTGAGAGAATATTTGGAAAGAAGAGCACATACAGGGTGATTGCAGCATTTGAAGAATAACTGAAATAACAAAGTTGATTTAGGTTGGTAAAATATGCAGAAAAATATGGTATAACGTTGGACTATCAAAAAAATACACTTTATTTCTTGAAAACTTCATACAGTGGTAGTTTTGCATATTCAGTCAGAGTATGTAGTGAAAATGGTAATCGCTTCATGAATACATAACAAATTACATCTTATTTCAATCGTTAATTATCGTTTCTTTTTTTTGCAAATCCATTTCTGTAGATTATACAATCATAACAGCAGTAAATTTGATATTTGTAAACAAATGGTCAAATGCCGGAATTCGATAGAATTGCGGTCTAGTATCAAACATCAACATATTTTTGCAATAAATGAACGAATTGTGAGAATGAAAACATTATTAAGGATCTTAATGAATCAGCGGTCACTATAGAATTGAAATGATTGAAGGATGGCTTTGAGATTCATAATGATCATCAACTCGAGCTTGGATGAATATTTATAGAAGATGAATAACTGGAAAAGATTAAATGCCGATCAATTAAGACAAAATGATTGATTTTTTAGAAATAATAATAATAAATTTAGGTGATCAATGCGCTAAAATAATACAGCTACAATATCGTCCTAATTATGCAACCAAAATCGATGCACCTTTCACAGAGTGGATCGTAACAAATTCATTTCGATGGCTGCAAAATGAATTAGAAAATTTGCGGAATTCAACGAATATGCCAATTTTTATCAATTTACATCATCTTGATGCATTCAGCTATATCAAAATCAAGCAACTTCTGCAAATTACGTAAGTTGCTTTAAAAAAACTCGTTACTGTTACTATTATTATTATGATTATCGTTGAAATTAAAGGCACTTTTATTATTTTTGTAATTGTAGCAAGTATTATCGTCCAAAGATTACAACTTTATCAATAACATTGTGATAGGGTTAATCGCATGTGTTTATTTCAAGTAATCAATAGGGGGAATAAATGAGTTGGAATCAAATCAAAACAATTAATCAACCAATCAATCGAATGAATTCAGATTTGCGAATCGCGTCAATCTGCCACCAATGCGTGTGTTCGTTTTGTACGCACATAACCACCATATGCATGAGCTAAGAAATGAATGCATTCATCCTTATATGGTTTCCTTCATTTACGTTGGTTCCGTACCAAATAACAGGTTGATATTCGTTCATTCGTTCACACATCTGCAAAAACAACATTTATTCAAACCATCTTTCCAGATTCACTTCCATCAAAATACTACCACCTGATAACAACAACGTCAACTTATCAACCGTTCAGGTCTTCTTACTCTCAGCTAATGGTGATCAATCTGTAACTATCTTAAAATATATACCAATTGTACATAAACAAGAATACTGCCGATAATTTTATA